ACACACACACACACACACACACACACACACACACACACACACACACACACACACACACACACACACACATAGGCACAAGGCAAAAGCAAAACCACATGACAGTCAGACCAAATGTGAACAAATCCGGCCCAAAAGATGTGTGCATTGACGGGATGCTCTGTGCGAGTTTGCCGTACCATGAGCATGCGCAATGCGGTCGTTGTCGTCGGTGGAGAGGAGCTTGACACGCGGCTCGACGGCAGCGACAAAGCGATCGTTGAGGATTGGCTTTGGGATGTCCTTCATGGCCGCCTGCGACGGGGACTGATCGTTCATGTTCACGCCACACTTGTCTTCCATCCACTGGCGCAGTCCAGGCATCTCCTGGCCGCTGAGCGAGTAGCGTGTTCCCGTCAACCAGACGACACCCTGCAAAGTAGCATTTCAAGCACAACACGACAACATGCATCAGATCAACACCAAAAACGCATCGAAACGGAGGGTATCACGGCGGAAAGAAGAGAGGGATCGAAAGACCCGCTTTCGCTTCAGTTCGAGTCGCACACGCTCTTCCATCGTCCCAATGGCACAGCGCGCTCAGAACCACAGATCTAGCACTGGTAGCAAAAAAAAAAAAAAAAAAAAAACAACAGCTTGACAAAAGCGAGCTCTGGCCCGGAAGCGCCGCGGATGTTACCTTGTCGTTGAGCTCAAAGCCGGAATCCTTGTAGCCCCAGCCATTCCATCGCAGCGTGTCCTGGCGATGCGTCGGGAAGGCGCGCGGCTGCTCCTTGGCAAGCTTGTCTGCGTCTTTCACTGGCACGGCGCACGGCTCGGCAGAGAACCACGCCGCGGGAGAGCCCTCAGTGACGTGGCTCGTGATGGTGCGAAGGCGATCGCTTGTTGACATTTTTGTTCAAAAGAAAAAAAAAAAAGAAAAAAAAAGATTGAAATGTTTGCACAAGTTGATGCTTTTTCTCAAATTTCGAAATTGGTAGCTCGGTTTGTTCGTGTTGCGCTGCACGGTATTAGGGTAGACAGTTTACTCATACAGCGAATGTCAGCGAAACAGTGGGTTGCAAGCCAACCAAGGCGCACGCACAGAGGCCGTTCTTTCACATGATGGTGCACTTCTTCTTCTTCTTGCTCTCGAATCCACGCAGTCGGCCTTCGATGGTAATCTTTTCATGCTCGAGTGCGCTGTGTTTGCAAGCAAAAGAGGGGGCGGGGGAGAGAAGAGAATGAGAAAAAAAAAGCACAAGACACTCAAATCAGCAAAAATTCAAAAGCATCCTTAAACAATCCCGCGCTTACCCAATCGCCTGAGACTTGGCCTGCAGCTCTTCCTCGATGCGACGCTCCTTTTCTTCCAGCTCGTTACGCTCGTCTTGGACACGCTTGCAAGTGTCCTGCGACTCGGTGAGCTCTTGCTGAAGCTCCTTGATCCGCTCCAAGCTTGCCGCTTGAGCCTGGGCCATTTCGCGGATCTTGAGGTCGAGGTCTTTGATCTCGGTTGTCAGCTGCTGGTTTTCCTTTTGCGACTTTTTCCACTCCGTGTCGACCGTCTTGTAGACAAGATCCAGGCGCTGGTAGTCCACCTTGGACTTTTCACGGATGGCCTCAACCTCCTTCTCGGCCGCCTCCTTTGTCGCCTCAACAATGCCCTCGGCAACACGTCGTGCAGTGGAGAAGAACTCGCGGCGACGATCGAACAGAACTTGCTGCTTCATCGGACCCTGCGCTGTTTCGAGGTAGTCTGTGACCACGCGCTCCCATTCTTCATGCAACTGGTCAATGTTGGTGATCTGCTCTCCGAATGGATAGACACCAAAACAATGTGTACCAAAACGTTAGAGCGATGCAAACTGGATGCAAACAACGCGCAAACAAACAACAAGATCCAACGTGGAACACTCACTTCCTTCGAACGAATGTCGTCCGAAATGTGCCTCGCCAAAGTGTCGAGCAAAAGCTCGCACTGCTCAGCCGACCGAGCGCGGTTGGTCTTGCGCATCAGGGCAAGTTGCTCTGCCATGGCATTCTGCACACAAGCCAGCCAGCGGTCAGTCACCTTTTGTTCGACAAGACTCAAATAACAAGCGTCCTTCAGAGTTGACACGTAGCGCGCGCGGGGGGGGGGGGAGCCCATAACGTACCTTGAGCTCATCTTCAAGTTCGGTGTGAGGCCCACCAACAGCTTTAGAACGGAACAGATCAATGGCACGCTTCTCGGCTTCGCGGTGGCTTCGATCCAGCTCTTCCTCCTCCAAAATCGCGCCGTCTGCAACCAAATCCTTCATGCGCTTCTCATACAGGCGTTCTGCAGCCGCAGAAGCCTTCTTGCATTCAATCTCGAGCACATTTTCCCAGGCGGAGCGGATGACGGGGACGCCGCCAGTGTTAATCGACTCGACGTAGTTCTTGGAGAGCTCAGCAAGCACTAGAGTCCAAAAAAAGAAGGGACGGGACAACAAAAAGATGTCAACGAGTTGGCAAAAAAAGCAAAGGAGAGACTCGTTGTACTCTTCGACGCACTTGCTCCATTCAAGTTGCTGCCAAACAGTTTCTTGGTCTTGACGCCGTGGTAAATCTTGCGGATGAGTATCCGCACTTGTTCAATGTACTCGGGTCGGAAGTCCTCCAAGGAGACTACGCGCAATCAATCCAAAGAACAAAAAAAAAAAAAAAAAAAAAAAAAACAACCCCGAAACGAAAAAAACTTGAGTGTGACGCTCGTCGTCAAACCCAGCGACAGTGGCATCAACCACTCACGATTCGACAAATCCTGCAAATCCTCCTCGTTCTCGACAGGTCGCTTCAGCGTAAAGCAGGTGCGATTGGGGAAGAAGCTTCGAATGCACTCGCGAATTTGATTTTTACCAGCGACGCGCTTGGGATCGCCCTGAAAAGTCATCACAACGACCAGACCAGCCGCGATGCGAGTCAATACGCACAAAGCGCAGCTTCAACAGAGGTTCAATAGCAGCATAGTTGTCTCGTTACCTTCACGAGCTGGAGGGCTTGCTCGAGATAGTCGTCCGGGGTGATGGTCTCGCCTTGCAGGACCAGCTCGAGCGAAAAGTCGCGGACGAGCCACATGAAGACGGGGAAGAAGGATTGCAGTTGGAAGGCATCCTGTACAAGTGTCAGCAGAACATGAGCGCTGGGATCAAGGCAATTGCAAAATTCCAAGCCGGAAGGAGGCCCTTCGCACCTCTTCGCCGTCAGCCTGAAGCTTGACAAACTTGGCCAGCTCGGCCACGAGCGACAGACGATCGAGTGCAGTCTCGTCAATGTTGCCCATCGAGTTGTACACAAAGAACGACGACAGGAGGAGCGAGAGCGAGAACACTTGGATGTCGTAGGTCTTGGTTTTCGTGTAGCTTGCGAGGCCCTGCGTGACATGAAGACGAACGAGCGTTGACAATAACAATAGACTCATGATCAGCAACCCCATACAAGTCCCGTCGGAGTGGTTGAGTGCGATTCAGCTTGTGGGAATTGGAATTTCACCAGTCGCGCGCGGTACAAAATCACACCAATCCTCAAACACACACACACACACACTCCTCGGCCAGCAAAGCACTCGAACGATTCACGACGAAACGCAAATCGCAGTGACACTCTAAAAGAAGTAGACTAAGATGAAAGAAAGAAAGAAAAAAAAAAAAAAAAAAAAAGGTACGCCAAAAACCGGTTGTTTCGTTCGTTCCTTTCGGATGTTTGAGAGCCCAAACAACGTAATCACGAGGAGACAACATCAGCGCGTCCCATTGAAAACCGCTCAAATGAGCTGTGTAAAGTGGTTGTATTTCTTGGTGTGAGTGAGTGAGTGAGAGTTTGCTGCTGCTTGCCTCAGTGTCGAGGAGGACGATAGTGAGATTGTCTGGAATGAGACCCGGTTCGACCTTCTCGCGATCGACAATCCACATCCAGATGCCCTGGGTGCACGGCTCCACGGAGGCACCGACGTCAAAGCCGCCTGTCGAGCCTGCCAGCTGGTTGAGCACGAACGACTTGCCCGTGCGGTAGACGCCCGCAATCGAAATGACGGCAACGTCGCCTTCAATCTCGGAGAGCAGCTCGACCGCCTCGTCCGTCACGCTGAACACGCCCGGGCCGCTGTCGACGTCGTTGTCGTAATCGCCGTCGCTGTTGTCGTCGTCTACACGCCGCGTGTTGCCGCCTTCGTGGCGAATGAACAGCACCGGATGGTCCATTGAAAAAACGATTGTCCAAGAGTTAAAAAAAAAAAAAAAGAAAAGAAAAAAATGGTGACTGTTCCTGCGCTCTGATCTGATCTGCTCAGAATGCTGCTGTTGCTGCTTCCATTGTTTCATGGAAGGATTGTCACTAAAACTGAGTGAATGTGCCCGTCGATGGACGGTTGAAATTGCAAATCTGAATTCTCAAATCTGAGCCCAGTCTCTCTCTCTCTCTCTCTCTCTGTTCGTTTCGTTTCGTTCCAATCATGTCACACCGGGGGAGGGTTGTGCGCGGCGAGGCGTCCGAATCGGATGAAAGCGACGACGACGAGCTCGACATGGACCAGGTCGGCGCGCGCATTGTCGCCATGAACACTGCTGCAGAAGGAGCAGGAGCAGGAGCAGGAGCAGGTGACGCGAGCAAGCCAGCTGCAACGACAGCCACTGCTGCGAGCTCAACGGCCGCATCGACACTCGCTGCTACTGCTGCTGCTGCTACTGCTGCGGCTGCGGCTGCGGCTGCTGGCACTGGTGGCGCGGCGGACGCGAGTCGAGAGGCAGAGGAGGATCCGCTCAACCAGTCCAGCTCGGCCATCCCGTCCACTCCAGGCGGCGCGGCAGGAGCGCCACACGCCTGGAACACGCCTGGTGGGCTGTCCACGTCTGGACGAATGGGGCCGGGGGGTCCGCTGTCCCCGATGTCGCCGATGTCGCCAGGTCCTCGATCGGCCGACGCCTACAGCCCAGCAGACGGTTCCGCTGTCGGGTAAGCTGCAATCCTGAAGCTCGTTGTTGAGCATGAGCCAAAAAGGGCGATCCAAGCATGACGTAGCAACTTTTGTTTGTTGGAGGGCGAACATTGACTTTGTGTTTTTCAACATTTGTGCGCATTTTCGACAACCCAATCATCTTGGCTCTTCCCAAAACCCAGTGCTGCTCAAAAGCGACTTCGTAAGCTCAAACACCTCAAAGCATACATGGCAAACGACCGTGTGAACGCTGGACCAACTTTTGCTCACTCTCGATTGTCCATTATTGACTCCACAGGTGAACGCAACGCCAGCTTAAAGAAAGGTCTGGCTACGCGTCTCTCGCACGTTCATAACGGTGTCATCAAGGAGGTTGCAAGCTCAATTTCCAACCTTACAAAGATCCAGCAAACCTCGCAGGTACGTTTCGATTGACGTGGGAATTTGGAGAGCGCGCTGTTGCTGTGGTGCTCGTACTCATTCGATCCGTTGTTTCTTTTGAATCAGGATGTCTCGCACCATTTGCGCGTCTTTAACGACGATATTCGGACGCTGAATGAAAAGATGGAAATCATCACCTCATATGACTTTTTGCCAAAGTTTAGCGAGTCGGTTCGGTTTTGAATAGAATCTTTGTCTTTTTGTTTTTGAAATTTGTGCGAGGAATGTCACTGTGAAGAATATAAATGTTACAATGTTGTCTTCCTAAACGACGGAGGCCATCGACCCCGGATGGATGCATTTGCCACTCAAAACACAAGCTACACCCGACCGGCAGTCCGAGGAATATTCAGCAAGTTCAACCCGTTTTCAAACACCTGCATTACGGCGCTCAACAAGACTATCCGTGCGTCCATCATGGCAGCTGTCGCGTCAGTGCGTGGGACGACAACATGGACGTGGCCAAAGTACTGGCTAAAGCAGCGCGCAAGGCGGTAGAGGTGCGACACAAGCTTGTGCACATCTACACGGCTCACTTGCGTCGGATAGGTACGAAGCCAAGAAGTAGGCGTCGGTTCTGATTGAGCCAGACTCGAGCGGCGTGCCTCGAGGGCGGCCGAGATTGGCTGATAGAGCGAACGGATCAAGTCTGGGAACGTGACAACAGAGTAGAGCATTTCCCACTCGTGATTCTCCTGCAAAAGGTCGAATCGCACCGAGCCGAGGGGTGGGGTTGAGGGCAGTCCATGCTCGGCCGCGGTAGTGGCGTACTTTGTCAGAATGGAGCGCAGCCGGCCGTGGTTGTAAATCAGCGTGCTTCCAGTTGCGTACTGCCCGTCCTGAAACCCAATCACTTTGGGCACATTCAAGTCAAGGTTCCCTTGGGTGGACTGGCCAAGAACGGACGAAACAATCGTAGCGCGAACGACAGACTCGGCCAATTGGATTGTTGGGTCGCCGGTGCCAACAACCGAGCCAGGCCGTGTTTGGAGAGATTGCCGATGCACAGGTGCACCATCGGCTTGAGAAGCAAGCGAAGCACTCTCGCGGGGCGGCTCGGGTGCAGAGCCGTCGCCGTGGCGATCGCGAGCAGTCGCTGTTGCCGATGCGAGAGTGGATGCAAACAGCTGCGTTGGTTGGATGGGTGCTGAGGGAATGACGTGACCGATGACAGTCAGAGACAAGGTGGGGCGGCTGCGTCCGAGCGCATGGCAAGCAACTCGAAGTCGTCGCGTCACGATGCTTTCTTGCTCGACATGGACAATCAGGTCGCAGGGTGTGCTGCTTGCGTCCAGAATCATCCGGTGCAATCGACATCCTTCGCCAGATGTCAATGCCCACAGCTCTGTTGACTCGGAGCTGTCCGGCTTTGTGGGCGACACCAAATCCAAAAGATGCAGCTGTCCGAGGTGCTTGGCATCCAGGCCCAGGTCGCGCGTATCCTCCTGCTGCAAGGTCTGCTGCTGCAGGGAGGTGACATACATGCTCAAATCCAGTGCACCGCCACCATCGGGTCGCCTCACAAAGCAAGGATGCCCCGATACCTGAGCGATCAGGTCGGACGCGCTGCAACCAGGAATTGTCGGTGGCTGATCGAGGATGGCAAGCCCCTGAGGAGTTTTCTCCGCTGGGGCTGCTTCATCTTGATCTGGATGCTGGAGAGACACGACGAGATCGTGCAGTGACATGAGGTTGTCATAGACGCAACCAAGCAATCCACATCGCAACGCGTCAAACGCCTCGTTGGAAGCCCTTGGCGATGGATAGCACAGCAGCGCCACAGTACCTGCAGCTTTCAATGCCAAGTCGGCATTTCGACCAAACGAGGCGCGCTCGGTGAGCGCCGTTTGACATGCATGCTGGATCAACGTGGACCTGGACAACCGGATGCCAACTCCGGATCCGTTTGGCAGCCATTCAGCCACGAACGGGCATGCGTCGGGCTGCTTGGCATGTTCTGCCTGCAGGATTGAGCACACTGCGACTCCGAGCGCAGCGCAGTCGACGCCGTGTCGCGACGCCAGCAGTCTGAGATTGACAGTCAGGTCGTCTTTCTTGCTGGATCCCTGCCAGGCACGCGATGGCTAATCATGATGATTCGAGTTGTTTGGATGTGTTTTTTTTTTGCATTAGTGATAGAGATTCACACGCACACAAGGCGAAAAGGGTTACGATGTCTCACCTGGTCGATCGTCCATTCGAGCTGAGTGTTGGCAAGCGCTTGTTGCACCGCAGCAGCAGCAGCAGCAGCGCCTTCCGAGCCGGCCTGCGCTTGTGGATTGACGACGGCTGTGTGAGCAAGTCCGCGTCGGACGCCGTTGATGAATCCTTGAATGTCGGCGACAATCCGCTCGAGCATGTTGTGCTGCTCAGAGACGAAAAATCACAAAAACAAACTAAGACGACTGATGAGCGATAGTAATAACAAAAACAGCGGTTCACTGCTGATGTGCATTCTGAATGTTTTTTTTATTTTCGAATCCAGTCCTACATTTCTAAGAAAACAACAAAAACGCAATAATGCCAAAGTCAAAGCGCGTCAAGAAAGGTCAGCGTGGCTTGTCCAGCGTCTGTTTCGCCGTCGCCGAGCGCAACAAAGAAAAAAAAAAACACGGGATTGTTGCAATTCCAAGGAGGGAATTGAATCAAAGAGAAGAACGAGCGTTGGTGAGACTGAGGGTGGACTGGAGGGACTGTCAATGGGTGGTGGTGGTTGGAACTGATGGCGGAGACTCCATGTGGACTTTCCATGTGTTCAGTAGCAGCCACCGTCAGTCGCTCTCTCTCTGCGAACACGGCAGCGTCCATCCCTCTGCTTCATCCACCTCATTCATCCATGCAAAAAGAAAAGAAGTCACTCTTGGAGCATTCGAGCGGTGCTGGTGGTGGTGGTGGTGCAGAGACGAGCAGTCGTCTGCAGCTGGCCTTTCGTCGTAATCCCGCTCGCTCACTCACTCACGCTCTCTCATTCACACAGTCGCCCTCACTCGCACCGAGAAGCACGGCATGGAGTCCAAGGACGCGCTGGTCAACGAGGTAATGGCCCTTGTCTTGTTGTGCTCCACTTCACGAACTGTGGTGGGCTGGAAACCTCGTCGTCCCACTCTCACTTCACACAACAACGACCACACCAAATCCAAACAGATCCGAAGCTGCATCCAAAAGTACTCGTCCGTCTATGTCTTCGCTGTCCGTAACATGCGCAACATCAAGCTGAAGGATGTCCGCTCCGAGTGGAAGCATAGCCGCTTCTTCTTTGGCAAGAACCGCGTCATGGCGCTTGCCCTCGGCAACTCTGAGGAGAACGAGCAAGAGACCAACTTGCGAGAAGTCTCCAACATGCTTGTCGGCCAGACCGGTCTGCTCTTCACCTCGCAGCCCCGCGAGGAGGTTATTGCCTGGTTTGAGAACCACCACGATCTCGAGTTTGCCCGATCGGGCTTTGTTTCGAGCGAAACGGTCAAAATCCCTGCCGGGCCCCTTCCCCAGTTCTCTCACACGATGCACAATGATTTGCTACGACTTGGCTTGCCGATTGTGTTGAACAAGGGTAAGCGAATTGCGGGAGAGCGCGCAACACACCAACGACTTTCTTTGTGCTCACTGGACGGTGCACAACAGGTATCATTACGCTTGAAAAGCCACACACTGTTTGCTCGAAGGGCGACACATTGACTCCCGAGCAGGCACGCATTCTGGTACGATTCCATCTCGACATTGTTTGATGCCAGTTTTTGGGCAATCGTTTCATCATCTCACTCTCTGTTGTTCTCATTCTTCTCGAGCAGAAGCTCATCGACCGACCGCTCGCCGATTTCCACATCAAGCTTAAGGCTGCATGGAGCAACGGCGAGTTCGAGGTTCTCTCTGAGGGCGACGACGATGAGCAAGGTCAGGACGGCGAGGACTACGAGGACGACGAGGACAACATGGAGGCTTAAGAGAATCGCGCTGCTTGCTTGTCTGATGTCGTTTGCTCTTTTTGATTGACTTAACTTTTCTTCGAAATCGTTGTGATGTTTTGTTTTTTTGTGTGCGCGTGTCTGGAGGCACAAACTGATGTTGGTTTTTTTTTTTTTGTACAATCAAAAACTTTTTTTTCTTTTTCTGTGGCTAACAAAAAAAATGCAAGCTAAAACAACTCGCACACTATCACAAGCATGTTCAATATACTAGTTGGCGTCTGCTACTGGTTGGAGATACAGCAAGACGACGGACATGACGGCAAACCTGTTCGAGACAACCCGACCAACAAAAAGTGAAACAGCGTTTTCTTCCAATCAATCCACAACAAGACGTGGTATTCTCCAAAATGGCGAAAAATTCAAACAAAACAGAGAGCTTTCTGCGAGAGTGATACGTACGTCACGCCTGTCAGCAGTTGCTTGACGTCGCCGTCGCTGCGCATGTTGGCAAAGCTGAACAGACAGCAATAGACTGCAGCCCAAGCGGCCCACTTTTGCTGCAAAACCCAAAACCAAAACACACACACACACACACATACTCCACATACTCCAAAGTCAGTGCAACATGTTACGAGAGTAAACCAACATGTCGGACGTCTCTCCACAGCGGAGTGAGGCAAAGTGTGCCAAAACGGCGAGATCTCGCTGGAACGGAGCCCCTCCTACCTTCATGAACAGGCCGAGCATGCCCAGAATCAGCGAGAAGAACGAGTAGTAGTCGTCGTTGGCGGAGGCCGCTGCTGGGGGCTTGAACGGAGACACGGCGTTGGGACGGCGCGGGTCGGCGGCAGCCAACGAAGCCAACGATGCTGGAGTGTCGCTCATTCGCAGAAAAATAACGGAATGAAGACTGGATGCAAAGGTCATTTTGGAGTCGAAATGGATTGTGAACAATATGATTGGAGTGCGAGGGAGGGAGAAAGAGAGAGAGAGAGAGAGAGAGAGAGAGAGAGAGAGAGAGAGAGAGAGAGAGAATAATAGGGTCGATGCACAAAACGGTGCACAAAGTATCGCCGTGAGAGACAGCCCAGCGATGGGACCTGCCTGCAACAAGGACTCTGTGCGTCGGCAGACAACTTTGGTCGTGTTCAATGGAAGGTGCTGGTGGAACTCAGAGTATTCGCACAGATTCTGTTGCGGAAAACAATAAATGAAAACATCAACACCAACACCGACAAAGCTTGGCAACGATGTATTGATCACGTCTGGTGAGCAAGCAGATCGAGCATCAGGGGGTACACTGGTGCAAACTGCTTGTCACCGCGGGCTCGCACACGCTGCGCATACGCCTCCAGGGTGGCGCCAATCAAGACAAGCGCATCTGCTTCTGTATGCGTGTCGAGCCACTGTGAATACTTGAGCGGCGTCATCTGAGCACGGACATGAGGAGACTGCATTTCGTCAGGACCACGCGAAAACAGGTGATGCAAGGCAGTCGAGACCGACAGAGCATCGCCCACAGCAGATGCGTTTGCAATGTGGCTCGCGTCCATGAACAAGATTGGTCTACGCAGGCCAAATAAAATCACAACATTGTGTGACAGCTTGGTTGGTTAGTCAAAGGAGTCGTGCTTCAGCAAACGGAAAACCCATCACTCTGCATCTGCCAAAGCAAATCTCACAAAACATGCCTGAATGCTCGCATTGCTCGATAGGGCTGACCCATGTCAGCCAGTCGCATTCCACAGCGCACTTGCAGGGGTCCGAGGGCCACTTCAAACTGTGCCAAGTCTGCGGTTAAACGCAGCTTGCCACCGTCGCCCAGAGGGCGAACAAGCGCTGCATGTCGCACAAACAGGGTCATTGCCCGACAGCACACTCGTTGCACTCTAAATCAAAGCAAAACAGCGCATATTGTGAGGCGCCAATGTGTGTCGAGGCCGACAAAAACCCGGGAGACTCGAAAAAAAAAAGCTGCTTACAAGACGGAGGTGACTTCTTCGCACTTGAATCGCGCAAGAATTTCAGACGAAATATGGGACACAAGGGCCGCGAATTCGTGCACAAATGGCGAGCACTCGGCGGCTGGAGCATCACGATCGGACGGAGGGGCGGCTCTGGTTTGAACGGACGAGTCAGAGACAGTTTTTTTTTGTTTCGCTTGTTGAAAACAAGCATTCAACAAGCAACGACATTACTCACTTGGAATAATCTGTGGCATGCATTTTGAGCAAACGAGCCTCGAGATGAATGCACATGGCATCGAAGAGTGGCGCGACAATGTTGTCGAGCAGTTTCCCCACATCCTTTCACGCAGAGTAAATAGCGAGCAAAAATGAGTCAACAAAGGAGAGAAAACAAAAAGTCCTTTCCAAACCACATATATCTGCAAACCTTCAGAGCATCTTGGATAATCTGAACTGCCGCCAGAGATGCCGAGCTGCTCGCTGGATTGGCTGCAACGTTGGCAAGCAGTGGCATTGCCCGAACTCCACGCTGAAACTGATCGAGCAAATTCACCAAAGTGATGTTGCGCGACTGCGAGGAGGTGCACGGGCCACTGATCTGGGAGGCTTCAGGGTCGGTAGCAAACAGTGTTTCTGACTTGACGGCCAGCAGTTTGATTGCTTTTGAGACATTCCGGCCAACCAGAGTCACCAGGAATCCATCCGCGTTTGCAGCTTGCAGCTCGCTGTCAAGCATGGCGCGCCAGTTTTAGTCGTCCCGCAATGTACCCCAATGAATACAGCTGTTTTTGACGAGTCGCTTACCTGGTGATTGTTCGCAGAATGCTCGAAATATCGTCTGGACCCGGCGGTGTGACAGAGCCACTCGGGAAGGCCGAATTGACAGGATCAAACATGCGGGAAAGGCTGCGTGACAAGTACGCGTTCTCGAATGGCAATAAGCACGTCCAAAGCAGATCTTGGGCGTTGCTACGGAAAGAACACAGAGAGCATTGAGGTTGAGCAACCACGACCTCCAACGCGCCACGAGAGCAGCAGCAGCGCATCATGTCAAGATCACAAGCGTACTTTGGTTGCCCGTCCTTGTTTTTTCCAGGCAAGGGCATTGTGAGATTTGTCAGCCGGGGAGAGACCGACTCCCACAGCTCCGAAACGACGCGCACGAGTTTCGGAAACTCGCTCTCCAATGTGTTTTTGACGAACGTAGAGTCTGACACGATGCAATAGCAATCAAGCAAGCGGCGTGAGTCTCACACCAACCCTCTCAACACGCCACGACAAAAGCTCGGACGTACTTTTGGCGGCCAATTGAAACTCTGCGACGAGAAGTTGCGTGACATTGATCCAAAACGATGTGATCAGGGTCGGACCGTCGGACGGCTGTTCAAACGAAAGGTTTAGAGTCGGCGTTGGAGCGATTGCTTCGTTTGTGGAATTCAAACGCAGCGCTAAAAGACAATAGCTTACCCGAATCACGTCAATTAAAAGTGCATGCGTCACGGGATCGCGGCGCTTGGTCAATACCTTCTGAAGCAGAGCCACTTGCGAAATGGTAGAAACGATGGTCGAACAGAGTTTGTCCAAGCGCGTCCACAAGATTGCTCGCCAAGCTGGAGACGCACCAGCGGTTGGGGTGTTGCTTTTGAGTGAGCCTGGAAGCACGGCGGAGGCTAATCCACCTAGCGTCGAGGAAGAATGCGAGGTGGGCAGCGACGCCGACGACCCGCCAGAGCTCAGAGAAGGGTCGGAGGCAAAACTGTCGACATGAACCGTGCTTTTGAGCGCGGTCGCGACATTCTTGTGCAGGCCTGACACGCAAGTTTCGACTCGCTCCGCAAGTTGGCCGAGGTTGTGAAAGACTTGGAGAGCTGTCGCGATATCTGCTTGATTTTGGGTTTCCAGGCCTGCTGACAGTTGGAGGAAGCCTTCTTTATCGACAGCTACCCGCACACTGCCAATCCATGCCAGTTCAGAGTCTACTGCGTCGATTCCCCGCAAATCCTCACCCGCCAAGACGAGGTCTGCAAAAAAGCAGACGCATAAGCGAAACAAAAGTGTGAGCGACGCTTTTTGACTTGGAAATGGCAGCACACAATCGGAGGGAGACGCGAGACGACACTGTACCCAGGTCATTCAGAAGCTGGGCAGCCTTGGCAACTTCCTTCATGCCTCCATCAAACTGAATGCGCAATTTCTTTGCCAGTTGGATGAATCGGACCACGTGCCGTAGCAGATCGCAGGATTTCTGTCGCAAAGAGACAGGACAGAGCAGGCAAATGAGTGTCTCTGTAGTGTTTGTGACTCTTCACCATATTCCTTTGCCAGGCGAGCGAGCGAGCGGGAGGTCTCGTCGTCGTCGTTGTGAATGAGTGCATCGAGTTCGGACACTCTTACCTGAAGATGTTCCAGCTGGTCGGTGTGCTGTACAAGAAACTGGTATGGCTCTGAAACGCGACTCCGAACTCGCTCAATATGCTGCTGCAACGATTCGATACGATTCCGGAGCATGGCAAGAATTTCTATCACAGCAATGAAGAGCGGCGGGGGTCGGATGAGGCGTGAGTTTTTGTTCAGTTTGTTTCGAAAAGGCAAACTGACCGACGGGTCACAGAGTTCAAAATCCAAACCTTCCAGCTTTGTGATGCCAACCGCTTGTGCAAGCAAGTCCGAGTGATGCGAGATGACCTGATGCTCGACTTGGCGGTCGAGCAGCTCAATGGTCTGAGTGAGGCGCTCGAGCGACGCGCCCGCGACGAGCCCAGAGGCAACGGCCGCTTCGTATCGCGCCGTGTCAAAGTCGTCCTGCAAGAACGGTCTCAAGATGGCTAAACGTTGTGACAGGTACCACCACAGTTTGCAGTCCAACCAAGCAAGCAGAGATGAGATTGGGTTTGCAGCAACAGTGGAGATTCTGTCTCTCTCCCCCCGCTTTCAGCTTTCAGTTCTCCAGACAGGACTTTGTTACCGTCTTGGGCGAGTGCGGCGTGGACATCTTCAAACGGAAGGAGCGGCTGTGGTGCACTCGTCGCTGTCGTCGTCGATGATGATGATGGTGAGGTGGCCAATGGAGACTCGCTGGGACCGCCGTTGCTCGATGCCGCAGCGCGCGCCGCCTCAGTGCTGCTAGTGCTGCTGCTGCTGCTGTTGGTGCTGGTGCTGCTGGATCCAGGTGGGTGGTGGTTGTGGTTGTGGGCAGGCGCCACTGCAGCAGCTCCAACGCTGCCAGTCTGCTGCTCATCGCCACGGAAGCCGCTTCCCATTTGTCTCAGACCAAAAACAAAAAAGGCCGACCAAAAGAGCAAGGAAGACTGGGGCATTCATTGTCAATCTCCCATAAAAAATGCAAGACCGGACAGCCAAGCGCAATCCAGGATCATTCATTCATTCATTCATTCATGGAGCAGAAGTGTTTGGCTGCTCTCTTTGCTCGGATTCATAGTATTCCATTCAAGCACAAGCTCTCCCAATTGTTTCGTTGTCAGCCATACAAGCAAGCAAGCAACAGCGCGCCACAGACACAAAGCGTCTCAGAATTTTTACTCTCAGTTCTCTTTTTTTTTTTTTTTTTTTTTTTTTTTTTTTTTGCGTTTTGTGTCATCTTTTGTTGCTTTTTCCTATGAGTTCCGCTTCGTCTGACGCGCCGATGCGCATGTAAGTCTGAGCCATGCATTTCCCGCGTTTCTCAGACCAAGCACCCCTTCCCCACGCTTGATCGTTGCTTCATCATCTCCCCAAAACGCGCGCTCCTGACTTTTGTTCGTCCTGTTGTCTCGTGTGAATGAAACGCAGATTGGTCGCAGGGGATGTCTGCGGACGCTTCAGCGCGCTGTACAAGCGCATCGACACGCTGCAAAAGAAGAGCGGTCTGCCGTTCGACATGCTGCTCTGCGTCGGATCGTTCTTCAAGCCGTTCAGCCCAGCAGCAGCTGCACTCCAGACTCGAGCCGCTGATCAGGCTCAGGCTGCAGAGGGATCGGAGGCGCAGGCGGCCGTGGGCGAAGACGACGAGTGGTCGCAGCTCCTCAAAGGATCGCTCAAAGGTAGTCTTCACCCCACCTTCAACACACACACGAGGCAGAGACAAGAGAACAAAAGACATGGTGACATAAGAGAGAGATCGGAGACAGATAGGCGCGTTCTGGTTTTGTATTTCCATGCAGATCAAGCTCAAGCACAACCAACCATCGTCGCTCTGCCAGTTTGCTCTCAATCAGTTTACCAACCGTATGTATGCTCACTTGGTTTGGCCTTGTTGGTGTTGGTGCAGCATGCGTCCCGACGTACATTCTTGGTCCGAACGCCGCGAACGAGCTCCCATACTTTGAGGGCGTTCTGGATGATGGCGCAGAGCTTTGCCACCAAATCACGTATCTGGGTAGGCACACAACTGATGCTGGTTTGGTTTACCGAGTCACAGAGCTTGACAAGCAACAAAAAACAATGCTGACGAGCAGTTTGGTCTTTTTCTTATCTCTGTGTGGGCACTTCCTGCTGCTGCTGCTGCGATAGGTCGCAAGGGTATTCTCAAGACACCTCAGGGACTCACCGTCGCGTACTTTGGCGGGAGCTTTGGAGCTGGGGCATACACTGCAGCCCATCCTCAGTCTGACCAGCTGCACCACTACACACACCACGACGTTGAGCACTTGCTCCAAGCAACCAAGCAGCCCGACTTTCGAGGCGTGGACATTTTCCTCACGAGCGACTGGCCGCGTTACATTACTCGTGGTGCTCCGCTACCCTCCATTATGCCAGCCACAATGACCGACGGTGCATCTGGCTCTCGTGCTGACTGGGGTCGAGTTGGTTCGGACGTCATCTCGATTCTGTCCTCGGCCTTGATGCCCCGCTACCACTTTGCAGGAGCGCTCGATGTTTATTACGAGCGCTTGCCGTATCGGACGGCGCCGGCTGTCAGCATGGGGCTGCAACAAGGCCACGCGACCAGATTCCTGGCCTTGGGCACCCAAATCTCGCCCACCAAGCAAAAGGTACGTCGAGTGGCTTTCATCACATACTTGTTGACTGATGATTGCAACCAAAACCACTGTTGTGGATTTTGTTTTTACAGGCCTTGTACGCGTTTACCATCAAGCCGTTGGTCAAGGAAATCAAGTCGGTGCTTCTCACGCATCCCTCCGAAACGACCGATTCCCCGTTCGCCGACGCGCCTCTTCGCACACCGGCCATGGGCACGCAGGTGAGGAATCTTGAGTTGAATGACCTTCTATGTGATTCATCACCACTCACGTGCTCTTTGACTTCTGTTCGCAGCAAGAGCAGGCGGGCGTTAGTATGTTCTATAGCGGTCTCGACGCGAGCGGCAAAAAGCGCAGGCGTGAAGACGACCCGACTGACGGACAAGCCCGCAAGGTTCCCCGTGAGGGCTACGTCTGCAACATTTGCCAGCAATCTGGCCACTTTATTCAAGATTGCCCGCAAAAGGATGAGCGTGATGCACAGCGCCTTGCCCAGCGGGAGGCAGAGCGGGGACCCTATGTCTGCCGCATTTGCAACGTCCCAGGACACCCAATCCAGGAATGCCCCGAGCGTGTGACGCGACCCATGGACCAAGATGGCCATCCTCGGCTTCCCGACAACTACGTCTGCAAATTATGCAATGTTCCCGGACACCATGTTCGCGATTGCCCAAGCAAGCAGGATACGCCGCGTAAGTCGTTTGTATTGAAAGTGCGGGTTGACTGCATCCGTTCTCTCATTTTTGCATTGCATTTTGGAATTTTTTTTTTTTTTTTTTTTTTTTTTGCTTTCATTCCTATCCACTTTGACAAAACCCACAGCGGGGGCCAATCGGCGACCGCCCAATGCTCCTCCGGCCGCACAGGGTCCCTGCTGGTTTTGCCTCGGCAGCCCACAAGTCGAAAAGCATCTGGTTGTCAGCATTGGTACGGAGCTGTACATGGCGTTGCCGAAAGGCGGACTCAGTCCTCAGCATGTGCTCCTGCTCCCTATCGGCCATGTTGCGTGCTCCAAAGATCTCGGCGAAGAAGCTCGCGCAGAGATGGGGCGATACATGAGCTCGGTGCGCGCTTTGTTTGCTGCGCAGGGCTGCGGCATGGTGGCTTTTGAGCGCAACGTCCGCACTCCTCACATGCAGATCCAGCTGATTCCCGTCCCGCTGGCTCTCACCGAGCAGCTGATTCCCACATTCCAAGAGCATGCGAGACGATTGAATTACTCGTTCCAAGAGCTGGCTCCTGGGGAGGACTTGACGGCGGTAGGTTGCTTTGGTGTCCAAAGCCATTTTGGTCGCGTGTTGAAGCACGCCAGAACATGATGGGAATCACTCATGGGTTGTATCTCCTGTACCATTCTTGCGACTCGTAGGCTTTGCCTTCGCCCGACACGCCGTACTTTGTGGTGGAGTTTGACTCTGGTGTCAGATTGTTGCTTGTGGTGACTGGACGTTTCCCACTCATGTTTGGCCGGTAAGACAATCGCGACTTGTCGTTCGCAACGATCTGATGCAAAGGGGCAATGCATTCATTCACGGCCGGTTGTGGGTTTTTCTCTTTTGCCAGCGAGGTGCTCTGTGACCCTGCCCTTCTGAACGCGCCAAACAAAATTGACTGGAAGCAATGCCAGGAGTCCGCCGAAACGGAGACGACCTTTGCAAGCGACTTCAAGGCTGCGTTCAAACCCTTCGACCAGACCGATGACCTCTGAGCCAGCTCGTACTTGTCGTTGCACCAGAGTACCAAAAAAAAAAAAAGATTGTCCAACTTTCAGCACCAAGTTGCAGAGATGAAAGAAACAGCAGGGGGTAGAGTACATGAAAGTTGTGTTGAAATTGATACCAAGACAAAGCAGCAACAACCGAAATCAACCGCGTGCGACCAAAGGATGAAGCAACTCGAACGAGCCCGTGCCCACGCCAGATACACGGCCCACAACAAGACGAGATGAAGGGGATTCGACGGCCTCATAGTCACCGTAGCTGTGGTTGGTAGGAAGCAAAACAAAAAGCAACAAAGAATGAGCGTTGGCATTTAAAGGAGGGAGAATCGGCATTGATCGGAAACTTGGAAACCGAACTTACACGCTGGATTGCCGCAAGAAGTGGACTGTCGTCTCAAAGCTCATCTTGAGGAAGGGAGAAACATTGGACTCGATACCAATGCGGTTAAAAGGTCGATAACCGCCCTCGAAAGTCTGGAATGCAAAACGTTCAAAAGCGACAGTGAGCGCGCGCCTTTCTAGCAACAAAAATTGCAGAGCCAACGAAAAGCACGAAACTCGGCACTCACCATATAGTCACCAATCAATGACAAATGTCGTGGGTCGACACCGATGCCGTAAACTTGGAAAACTTGTGAGATTTCATTCGTAATGACACGGCGCGCAGCTTCGACACCTGGTATCGCGACAGACATGTCAGCCAAGCGTAAAAATCAACCCAATGTTCTCTCCCTGTTCGAACGTACCATAAGTGTTTTTAATGGCGTGAATGTCGTTGGTCAAGATGTTGTTCACATCGAGAATGTTGGCGTGCTTCCACATCTCTTGCAAGTTGACACCTTCCGTGGCCAGGACAGGCTGCGAGTGAAACCAAATGTAGAGAGGCGTGTTAGTACGTGGCGCAGAGGCAAACACACGCCAGAAAAAAAATGCTTACCGTGGCTGCAGCATCGTCCTTGATGAAGCAACGAGTGATGCCACGAACAGATCGAATAAGCGTGTTCTTAGCCACACGCTCAATCAGCGAGACCAACAAGAGCTTCTTGACGTGCAAAGACAACTGTGAAGGCGAAACAAAAACAAAAACACACAAACACACAAACAAAACAACAACAACAACAACAAATCCATGAGCTCGCGAAAAACAAAGCAGTCAAAACAAATGGCACAGTTGCATACCTCCATGGTGAATTGAACCCAGCGGCCACCTTCGTCATAGGTAAACTCGGTCATGTAGCCCTCAGACTCCTTGGTGGCACGGCGGGCGCGCTCCTCTCGAGTGGTGATGGACGAGGCGATCTGCTTGGCTTCGCCCTCCTCGCCTTCGTTGTCGGAGGCGTCGTCGCTGTCGCTGTCGCTGCCATCGTTGCCACCCTCTTGTTCGTCATAGGTGACCATCTCGCGGGCCTTGCTGTTGCGGCTGCCGCTGGTGCCGTCTTCGGTCTCGGCGCGCTTGGACTTTGAGCGAGGCGTTTCGTCCTCCTCATCACTCGACTCGCCGCTTGCCTCGTCGTTGGCGCCGTCGTCGTTGTTGTCGGCGTCGTCTTGGCGGCCAAGCTCGACATCCAAGGGCCCATCGGCGTCGCCATCGGTGGCGCTGGCGCCAGCCTTGGAAGATTGGCCTTCGTCAACTTCCTTCATCGCCTTGCCAACCATATCAGCAAGGTTGCGAGACTTGGTGGTGATGGCCTTCTTGACGACCTTGCCAAACTTGTTTGCAAATGCAGAGCTCATGGCGTTCAAGAGCGCATTGGACGACACGCTAAACTCGGACTGGCAGACCTGGGGGTCGATAAACTCGAGCTTGACGACATAGCGACGGAAGCGCGTGTTGCCGTTCTTGGGAGAGCGACGGGTGATGCTTTCGTTCACAATGGCGCCCTGCAGAACGTCGCCGAGGGCGACACGACTCAGCGCCTGTTTCAGGGCGTTTGCTTGCGCCTTGGCGTGAGGAGATGCTCGCAGGGGGAGGGTCATGTGCGGTGTCTTGATGTGGGGACTGGCAGTCATGAGAATTTCTCGCAAACGGGGGATACCGAGCGTGACGTTCATGGCACCGAGGCCCGCAAAGTGGAACGTGTTGAGCGTCATTTGGGTGGACGGCTCGCCGATGGACTGGCCTGCGACCACACCAACAGCTTCGCCCGGTTCAACAAGACTATTAACGTATTTGGTGTACATGAGGGCGCGCAACGATGCCTCGGGCACCTTTTGCCGCTTGGGCTGCGCGACCTGGTGTTTCTTGCCCTTCTTGGACGAGGCAGGGACGACGGCCGTCTCTTCCTCTGCGGCTTGCAGCAGCTTGTCGGGGTTCTTTTCAATGTACTCTTCCAGAGACCGCGCAAACTTTTCCGAAACGGCGCCAAGATGAAGACCTGGATGCAATTGGGACAAGACTGGGGCGTACCGGTCGGGCTTCTCGAGGGCCTTTGCCATGCGGCGTGGACCCTTGGACGAATCGAGAATGGACAAGGCATTGCGCGAGTTGAGCTTGGCTTCCTGCGCGTTGTAATTCTGCGCAACGAACGAGAATTGGTCGAGGAAGATGGTCTTGGTGGGGTCGAGCGAATCCTCGCCATAGTGGAACTGGACGACAGAGCCATCGCTGTCACGCACCGTCATGTCATAGTTGACGCGCAGACCTTCGAGATGCTTGATCAAGCAGCGCTGCAGGTAACCCGAGCGACTGGTCTTGACGGCCGTATCGATCAAACCCTCACGACCAGCCATGCAGTGGAAAAAGTACTCTTGCGGGCGAATGCCAGTCAGGAAGCGATCGGTAACGTAGCCGCCTGCTCGTGCGGAGGCGTCGAAAGCCTGGAAAGATGGCAGCGTTTTGCCCGAAACCATGACGGGGACACGGCGACCTTCGAGTTCCTGCTGACCAAGCAAGCTGGAGATTTGCGAGTGGTTGACCTTGGAGCCCTTCGCACCAGAGTTGATCATGAGGGACAGGTTGTTCTCGGGGAAGGCAACGCGCTGGCCGTCCGGAATACACGCCGAAATGACGTCCGACGTCAGCTTGTTCAAGCGCGTCTTCATCACCGAGTCGAGCGCAGCGGACTGCTCGTCGCTGCGGAAAATACGAAGAACGTTCGACTTGAGCAGCTCAGTGTCGGAGGAGTCGGCCTGGCCAACAAAGCGCGCCGTCTCCTCGGCTCCGACGTTGGTAGCCGCGCGGAGCAGCTTCACACGCGCCGCATCGGCGTCAGGCGTGAGAACAAGGTCCTCAACGCCAATGGTGAAGCCGTGGTATTGGAGGAAGATGGTAAACAAGCGCGAGAAGGCAGTGAGCAGACGGCCGGCAACGTCAGCGCCGTAGAGCTCGTAGCAAGCGTGCACGAGACCGAACGCGGAAGCACCAAACTGACTCTTGTCGAGAATACCAGTCATCATGTGCGAGTCGCGGAAGATGACATCGCCTTCCTCGCTATTCTTGCCCCAGGCCGAGGCGGGGACTTTGCTGGCAGACTTGAGATTGAGCGGAACACGGCCGCGGGTGAGGTTGATGAGCAAGGTAGAAATGATTTGCTTTCCAGACCAGAGCGCCTTGGGCTTGATAATGCAGGGGGTCAGCATGGTGATGGCCTGCTTGCCAACGCCCATCGCCGCAACGGTCGTGCTCGACGAGGACAGCGCGACGCCGCCGTGTCCACCGTGCCGTGCCGTGCCGCCTTCGGGGAGACAGGCGTAGACGAGCTGCATGTACTCGGACTGCTCAAAGAAGCGGTCGCGCATCGTCATCTTGGCACCGCCAATGACGTGATCTTGAATGAGACCTCGCAATGGTCGACCAGAGGTTGGCACGAGATACTGGCTATCGGCGTTGGCAATAAAGTAGCCCTCAGCGCGGGGAAGCTCGCTCTGCGGCAAATGCACGTTCATTTCGTCACCATCAAAGTCGGCGTTGTACGTGTTGCAGTTGCAATAGTGCAGGCGAAGGGTCTTCTCGCCAGGCAGAATGCGGGCAATGTGGGCCATGATGGACGGCTTGTGCAGGGTGGGTTGGCGGTTGACAAGGAGAACATCGCCGTTGCGGACGTGGCGGAAAACCTTCTTGCCAGACACGGACAGCGCAGCATTGTTGGCAGCCAAAGCGGTGGCAGCGGAGGATGGCGCTGCTCCCGACGACGCAGCAGACAAGCCCGAGGATGCGGCTTGAACGAGCTCGGCGACCTGAGCAGCCGTCGAGGTGGTGGACGAGATCAACTGCGAGCTGGGCGTCAGCAGCAGGTTGGCAAGCGCGGTGCGCTTGTCCTGGTCCATGTTGGCAAGGGCTGAAAGGGTGCCATCGGCATTCTGGACATGAGTGGCGCCGGGGTGCACTTCGGGGCCGTTGATGACCGCATCGCGCAGCTCTTGAAAGTTCCAGGGCGTCACGGGCTCGGGGTAGGTCAGCTTCTTGGCAAACACCATGGGAATGCCAATTTCGGCAGAGTCAATGTACACGTCGGGTGAGATGACCGAGCGCGCAGCATAGTTGACACGCTTGCCCATCATGTGCTTGCGGAACAAACCCTCCTTCTTTTCAAGTGTTTGGCGAATGCCGGCAGGGGGGTTGCCACCCTTGACGGCCGTGTTGAGGGTCGAGTCCATCAGACTGTTGACCTCGCCCTGCAGGGCAATCCAAGTGTTGACCAAACGCACAATATCGCCCGCACGGCTCTTGGGGCCGCCGGTGCCGGTGGTTTCGGCTTGGTCGTCGTCCTGGTCAATGCTGGCCAAGTCCTCGCCAGCCAACAGGCGCTCCTTCACCGAGCGGTACTCGATGAGCTGGAGCGATTGACGGAGGATGTTGCCCAGGTAGATGTTTTGCGGGTTTTCAAACAGCTGGTCTTGCATGCGTGCTGGTGGGCGGAAGCGAGACGGCGCCACGGGCACGACATCCAAGAAGAAGCAGTTGGCCGTGCCCGAGCGCGTGAGGGCGACTCCTGCCTTGCTCGAGTACGAGCCGTAGATCAGGTTGACGAGGTGCGGCTCGCGCTGCCAAGTGCTGTACAGATGGTCGCGCACCTGCAGCGGATGCAGATACTCGCTTTCTGTAGCAAAGACGCCAGTGTAGATGACCTCGCGAGACCCGTTGAGGTTCATCGGAGCCGAGGGGACGGCCTTGTCTTCGGTTTCTTCCTGATCGCTTTCGTCTTCTGCTTCCTCGTCTTCCTCGTCGCTGCCGGCCGCTGATGCAGCAGCCTCGGCGTCAAAGGCAAGCTCCTTCATCAATGCAGAAGACTTCTTGCCTGTAGCTTTTGCCGTGTGGCCGGGAGCGGTGCTGAACAAGCCACCCTTCATGGCCAAAAGCTGCTCGGTAGAGAGCTTGCGACGGAAGACGGCGAGCGTCTTTTCGCTCAAGGGCTGCGCGAAAATCTTGACGGCACCTTCCTTGCGGAGCGAGCGAGCGGGGCAACCGCAGGCGGAGCACCGTTTGGACGCACCGCAGGCGCGGAGCAGGTCGAGAATGACGCGGCGACGGTACTCGTCCGAGTGGGTGGTCTTGAGCGAGCGGCTCTTGGGAGCAGCAACGCCCGTGCTCGACGCAGGGTTTGGCTTGACGCCCATCAGCTTGAGACAGTGTTCACGGTACGAATCGAGCTGGGCAAGAATGCGCGTGGACATGCGCTCGCGCTTGGAACCGTCGGCATCGTCGTCTCCAGCATCGCCATCTTCGCCATCGACGGCCATGCCAAAGGGGGTGTTGACTTCGACGGCTTCGCGGCGATTGTGCAGCTTTTGCTTGCGTGCTTGGGAGGCAGCACCGTCCGTACCGGCAGTTCCGGAGACGGTGGCGCGGCACGCCTCTTCCGCAGCAAGACGGCCATACTCTTGCGGCGAGAACTGCGCTGACGGTGTCGTAAGGAACTCGGCGTCCATTGCGGGAATGAGCAGGCCATGCTCGAGCAGTTGCAGGCGCACCTCTGCGAGACGCAGAGTGACTGGGACGCCCTTGAAGGCACCGCAGTTCAAGCAAATGCAGCGCAGCAGCTGGAACATGTCCTTGAAGAAGATCGGGTTGTAGACTGGCAACGCGAGCTCAATATGGCCGACGTGGCCGGGGCAGTGTGTCGAGGCCAGGTTGCATGTGCGGCAGGTGGCGTCCGAGTCGATCGGCCCAAGCTCCGGGTCGTACAGACCACCGGGCGTCGGGTGGTTGAGGTTGTCCAGCAGCGTCGGGTTTGTAATGCGTTTGACGGACAGCCGGCGGATTTCCTCGGGATCATACAGGGCGAACGACACGCCGGCAATCTGACGGCCGAGCACAGGGCTCTCAGAGCTGCCGCTGCCGCCAAACATGGAGCCGACGCCGATCGCAGCCATTGTATCGAGCTTACTACAGACTGTTTTGATGTGCGTAGGGCAGGAGAAATGGGGAGGGAGAGAAAGGCGCAAAAACAAAGCTTGTCCTTTGGAGCCTGCACGAGGAAACCATCCAAAAAAAAAAAAAAAAAAAAAAAAAAAGTCAGCCAAAATGCAATGGAACTAACTCGATTCAGTTTGCAATGCGTTGTCATTGACAAAGGCGCGAGTGCAGACGACACCGCAGAGAGGCAATTTGGGATGGACGCGAGTGAGCTGTGCACAGGAAGGAATAGTCGCAACGCTGATGGCCGGCAAAGAGACGATAGCAGCAACAGACCAAGGATGGCTGAAACGATCGCTGCATGTGGCGGCAAAAGTGCTTGGCCGTTTTGCGCGATGTGCGCCGTGTTCCCGCACACTGCACTCCCCGTCCCCTGCAGAACAAACACTAGATATACGCCTTGGGTGCGGCAGAGGGTGGCGGGGAGTGGCTCGAGGGGCGGGTTGGGGTGGATCGCGCATCCACGTGGAGCAGAAGAAGGGGCAAAGACCAAACTTACCAAAGAAAAAAGAAGAAAAAAAAGGTGCAAAGATAAAAAGAATGAGCTGCCTGCCTGGCTTGCGATGCAGCAATAACAATGAAGGGGTTTGTGTATTGAAAATTCGGAAGGAAGCCAAAAACAAACAAACAAAAAAAAAAGTGGGAACACGCTCTGGCTCGGAGCAATAAGAACGACAATGGACAATAAACAAAAGTGTGAGAAAAAAACAACAAAAACAACCAAACAAAAGAGAAACAGAGAGACAAAGAAGAGAGAGAGAGAGAGAGAGAAGAGAGATTCACAAAAGATACAGCAAGTGCTTAATTCTGTTGAATGGCCAAACAGACAAGAGCAGTTTCGTGGTGAGCACAGGCAGATCACGCAGAGAAACACAGGCGGCAAAAGACATACCGACAACAAGGTAATGGCGGCAACCCATTGATCAAGCTCGTCTGAGGACTCGGCAGCAAGATACCGGACGGCATCTTCGCCGTCTTCCAAAACTCGGACGCAGAACGAGAATCTGGTAGGCGACCGCTTGTGTTCTCTAAGATAGTAGACAAGAAGACCCCTGAGCGCGAACTGACCAAGCTCGCCTCCCATCTGCCACAGGTCGGTGACGTGCCAGTCGAACAAAAAACACAAATAACAAGCGTGAGAATTGAGAACACGACGGGTTTTGTTTCGTTTTGCCAGATGCTCGATAAACCGAGAACCAAAACGCTTTGCGTACCTTTTGCTCCTTGTAGTACGCAACGGAGGACGGTGTTGTAGAAAACCAACGTCGTTTCCAGGTCTTCACCGAGCCACCTTCCTTGTGCAGCCAGCCCTTCATCTTGAAGCCCGGCGTCGCGCGCTACCGTTGCCGCAAACGGTGAAACATGGGGGAGATGAGTGAGACATGGCAGGGTCCGAAACCAATAGCGCCCCAAATTTACCACCGCGTCGATCTCGTACCTGTTTGGTCAGGAGTGTGCGGATGGGAGACCGTTTCAGCACAAACTTGTTAACTTGATTGAGCTCCCATCGAGATGTGGCTTTGAGCACATTTTCGGCGTCCGCAAGCGGGCGTTCTGTCACGTCAAGAAACAAAACGGTACAGTAAGAAATAACGTGCCGCGACTGGACGCTCCAACATTGGCAAAGAAAAACAAACAAACAAACAAACAAACAAACAAACAAACAAACAAACAAACAAACAAACAAACAAACAAACAAACAAACAAACAAACAAACAAATAAAAATAAAATAAACCATACCCATTTCGCCATCACGCAGGCTTTCAAACAACATGATGTCGGCACTCTGAGGAATGGCAGCAGCCTGCACAACGGCCAACTGGAGCTCGGCAGCAGTCATGGTCGGTGTGACAGGAATGGTCACGGGCTTGTCAAGCGACTCGATGTAAATCTCCATAGGGAAAGAGCCTCCGTTACCCTCCTACCAAAACCAAAGAAAAAGAACTCAAGTGAATGCAAAAACCCCCCAGCTCACACCACCTTATCCCCCCCCCGCCTATTCTCGCGTACCATTTGAGGGGTGTTGGTCTTCCGGGCGGCTGCTTCCATCTTTTTCAGAGCTTCTTGCATCTTTGCCATCTTATCTGGATCCCCACCGGCACTTTCAGCGACGGGGAATGGCGTTGAATCGCGAGATGCAGGCTGGGCAGGGGGAGGACGCGTGCTCGCGAAGGGCGAGGTGACGATCGACGCCAAGCTTCCACGGAGGCCCTCGCTGTGCCCTTTGCCTGGATGGCTCTTTTCAAGAGAGGGGGCCGCCGCTGAGTGGCCGGGGAGCGTCGGAGAAGTGGGGACGATCGGCGGCGAGTTGGTCTCGGTCTCCCACGGATCAACATAGCCGGTGGGCCCGCCCAGCTCAGCCTCGAAAATCCAGTCGTGGTACGTGATGAACAGTTCGATGGCACGGTACTGCTCCGACATGTCGGTCAAGAACCCGTCGCTTTGAGACGAGACAGTGAGCAGCGTCGGACCAAACACGATGGCGAGATTTTGGAAGGTCATCTTGTTGACATGCCCCAGGTTGGCAACCTTGGAGAGGTGCGTCATCAATCGCTTCAACACGTTGTAGTTCTCGTGGGGCAGCGCCTCAACAATGCCTTGAAGCTGGCGCAGCCGTTCCTCGTGGTCGTTGACACGACACGCATCCATGAGCTGGCGGTACAATGCCGTCGTCAAGAGCGGATCCGGCATGGAGCGGAAGAAGAGCTTGAGCAATCCCGCAACGTCGTGCACCTCGGCGTGCTGCTCGTCAAAATCAACCAGCGACTCTTCCTGGTTGACGGCAATGCGCATTTGTTGGATGGCCGCGTTGTTTCCGCTGATGCGGTAAATTCCTTCAACGTCCAAGCCGTGCTGGTCGACGTACTTGATGGCGCGATCAAGGAAGCCCGGGAGCTTGGTCGTGTCCTTGCGCATGAGCAGCGAAAGCGGCACACCAAACACTTGCGTGTTTCGAATGTCAGAAATCCAGGCATCGCGATCGCTGTCGTTCTCGGCTTTGAGGTAGAAGGTTCGTGTGCCGGTCGTCAGGTGGAAGGTGTGTGCTTCGCTCTGCTTGTTTGCGCCTTCACCGACGGCAATGTTTGTCACCTTCTTCATGTCGATCAGACCGAGGAGCTCACGGTCCTGCTGCGACTTGAAATAGTAGATTTCGCGTCCCTTCAGGACGAGCCAGCGCTTCTTCCACGACGTGTACGTGCCACCGCGCTTGCAGAGCCAGCCCTGGCGTGCTGGGTTGTCAAAGATTTGGTCGATGCGTCGCTTGAAGCCCTGCGCGGTCGGGTTGGCCTGGATGATCACGCGGATGGCAGCCATCCACTCGTCCATCTCGTGCTCCGAGTCGGCGCAGAACATAAAGTCGCGGTCACTGGCGGTGCTGAGCTCAAAGCAGAAGCGGTACTTGTGGTCCTTGACAGACTCTTCGTCTGCAGGGGCGACGCCCATCACATCTTGCAGATACACAATGCCAGCGGGCTCTCGGTCAGACTCGGTCTTGAAATAACGAATGGTCCCGTGCTCCATCACAATCCAGCGCTTGCGCCATCCCTTGTTGCTGCCGCCTTGCTTGTACAAAAAGCCAAGCTTGCGCACGGCAGGCGCAGCGGCTCCTCCGCTTGCCGCACCTGCAGCAGCAACTGGCGAATTCAGCATTGGCTTGGATTTGACGAGCGCCTTGTTGAGACGCTTGACAATCTCCTTCCGACCCTCCATTTCGGCGTAGTGCATGGGCGGGTAGCCGTCCGAGTCGGTGAGCGTGGGGTTGGCATTGTTCTGCAGCAGAATCTCAACGACACAGGCGTAGCCCGCGGCAGCGGCAGCGTGCAACGGTGTTTTGCAGGACTGTCCGGCATGCACGTAGTTGACTTTGGCGCCCAGCGCAATAAATTCCAACGTGCGAGCAAGATCATCCGTAGACGCCGCAATGTAGAGCTGCTGGCCAAGCGTGTTCGAGTCCGTCTCGCGCTCCTGTCGAATAAATTGCTTGCGCTCGTACTTGGCTCGAATGAACTCTTCACGCGGCGCTCGAGGCGTGTCGGGAGTCGGCTTTCGCACTGTCGGGGGCAGGTCGACCTCCCAGATGGCGTTGGCTGTTGCATTACCAGACTCCTGCATGACGGCAATCATTTCCGACGACCAGTCGTCCAACGTGACTGAACGAACCTTGGAGATGTGAACTCCCAAGCTGCGGTGAATTCCAGAGCACTCGATGCAGACAACGATTCCCAGATTGATGCTGGCCCAGTCGGGATCTGCAGTGATGAAGCGGACAAGAATAGTTGAAAAAAAAGTGAGCAAAACAAAAGCACAAAGTGGGCAAGGGGGGGGGGAATCACGATGTTGGCGAATTAATTCTCTTTGACTGCAAATCCGCAACTCTGCAAAATCCACACTTTAAAAAGCCCTCCCCCCAACAATACCACAAGCGACTTACTCGCAGTCCCGCAATCAGCACAATGCTTGTTGCTCTCGTTGAGCCAAACTGCATCCAGTGCAGCTTGACCGGTGACGGACTTTTGACCTTCTTTCATCGAGCTGGTGCGACGAGTCTTGTCGCTTTGGTTTGAGTTGAGCGAGAAGAGAATGGAGTTTTGAATGGCGGTAATCCACTCGGTCATGTCGTCGTAGCTTTCGGCCTGGAAAAAGTACGTGCGATTCAGCGTGACCAACTGGAAGCGGTTGCGCTTCTGGTCGTCAATCTTTGCAGTTACAGTCATCGTGTTGATGCTACCGAGTGGGACTGCAAGCTCGTAGTCCTCGTAGTTGTTGTAGTAGCAGAGCTGGCCTTCCTTGATGGCAATGTACCGCTTCTTCCAGTCTTTCGCCATGCTATTGCCTTGCTTCTTGAGCCAGCCTTCCTTATCAGGGTTGGCCATGTTCCCACCAACCGTCTCGGAAACGTCCTTGTTGCTTTGCTCGGCTTCGGTGATGGTGGTTTGCAGCGCCTTGAGCCACGCATCCACATCATCGGGATTGTCGGCGGCAAACAAGAAGGTGCGCTGCTTGGTCACAATCTCAAAGCAATGTTTAAACTTGGAGTCGACCACCTTGGACGTGCGAACCTCCATCATGTAACGGCTCGAGACCACGCCGACAGGCTCTCGGTCCACGTCGGACTTGTAGTAGAGCAAGTTGCCGTTCTCGAGCACACAGTAGCGGCGCTTCCAGCCCTTGTTGTTGTTGACGCCGCCCTGCTTGGAGAGATAGCCCTCAATGTTGGCCGTGTACGAAGGCACCGGGGCGCGCTTGATCGGGGGCCTGACCGGCCGAATGGGGGAGGTCGGACTGGTCGCGCCGGCAGCGGCAGCGGCGGGCGATTGGGACACCGCAATGGTGGTGGGGCGTGGTGGGGCGGGCCGAGGTGGACGTACACCCGTTGCCGTTGGCGAGGTGGGATCGCTCTGCTCAGCAGCTGCTGCTGTGGGCAACGAGGGCTTCTCGGGCTTCTCGGGCTTATCTGGCTTGTCGGGACGTTCCGGTTTCTCGGGCTTTTCGGGTTTTGCGGGCCTGGGTGGCAGTGCATTGCCGTCGGGACTCGGGCGCGCTGGCTTGGGCGCGAGCTCGGGACCGGCAACCGTGGTTACAGGTCTGGCTCCAGGGAAAATGGCGACGGAGCCAACTGGAGGCTTGAATTTGGTGGCTCGCGGAGGTGCAACCGGGTCGGCTTCCGCATCGGACGGTGCTGGCTGCTGTGCTTGCTGTGCCTGCATCGCTGGCGCGACAGCGGGCCTCGGGACGAGCGGCTGGATCTTTGGCAACGTGGGCTTTGCCGCGACCTGAGGGGCTTCGTCTTCGCTATCGCTGTCGCTGTAGCTGGGTGCGTTCTGTGCGGCTGCTGCAGGTCGTTCAGCCGCAACGGGCACGGCCTCTGGCGGCGACACACGCTTGGCTGGCACAGGCATGACGGAAACGCCAAATTTAGGTTTGGGCTTGATGGCACCAGGTCCAGAGGCGGTTTCAGCAGGAGTTGCGGGAGCTGCAGGAGTCGCAGGAGTCGCAGGAGTCGCAGGAGTCGCAGGAGTTGCTGCAGCAGTAGCTGGCGGGGCTGGTCGTTTTGGAAGAGGCGTGGGCACAGGGGCAGCGCTCGCCGTTTCCGGGCCGGGTGACGCCGGTTGAGGCGGACGCTTGATAGGCGGCGGGGCTCCAGCAGGCACAACTTCAGCGTCAGACGCAGCCGATGAAGAAGACGCCGCCGCCGCAGCAGCCGCCGCAGCGGAGGCTGCAGCTGCGGCCTCTGCCGGTGAAAGCGCTGGTCGTGGCGCTCCAGTAGCCACGGCAAATGCCGCCGCTGCTGCGTTGGCCGGCGACATTGCGGGTTTGGTGGGCTTGGGGACAATGCTGGGCTTGGCGGCCAGAGGCTTTGGTTTGAGTGCCACGACAACGCCCTCGGCTTCTGCTGCCGGCTCGGCTGCGGCTGCTGCTTGAGCAGGCTTTGGCGGTCGGGCGAGTTGCGAAGGAGCATCGTCAGCAGCATTTGCAGCAGCAGCAATTGGCTTTGGCGGGCGGACTGGCGCTTGCGGCTCGGCATCAGCCGGTGGAGGAGGCGAGGAGGTGGCAGCAGTCGCGGTCGCTTTGGGCGGACGGGGAGGGGCGACGGGCTCGGCCACTGCGGCAGGCGACTTTGGCTCAGCAGGCTTGGGCGGACGCGCCGGAGCGTCAGGCTCGGAGGCAGCGGATGTGTTTTCGGCGACCGAGTCGCGTTTCGGCATGAGTTGGTCCAAGTCGAGCATTGCCTGCTGAATAATCATAAAGGTGCTATCTCGACTGTTGTCTGCGATGCTGGCAGCGGGAGCGGCAAAAGGAACAGCAGCAGCAGCAGCGGCAGCAGTCGGTGCAGCAGTCGGTGCAGCAGCAGAGTTGGCGTCTCCCGGCAACAGATCAAGGCTGGCAATAGAGCCGCGAGAGGTGGACTGTGCGTTGGCAATGAGCTTTTGCAACGCGTCGGGCTGCAAGAGCTTGGGGGCGTCCGCCAGCAAGCGCTTGCGATGCCCCGGCAGCGTAATGTTCATCGTGTCGAGATCTTCCGCCGTGAGCGTTCCACAGACATCGAGATCGTCGTACCCGTTGTCCAAGAAGGCCGACAGGTACGAGACCAACTTGAGCGAGGTGAGCCAGAGCCGGACGGCATCTGCGCCAGACTCGACGTCGTCCATGGCAAACAAAAAAGGGGGTCACAGATCCTTGCTGCAAGAACAAAAACCGTCACCGGTCACCCAATGAAAACAACACACAAAAATCAAAGTGAGTAAGCGCAAAGCAAAGTTTGGAGGTGGTGAGGTTTGTTGCGTTCTGCTGAATGTGTGACTGGAAGGAGGACACAACAACAACTGGGTCGAGAGGCGAATTAGCAAAAGAGACGGGATTCAGAAAGGGATCGGAACAGGTGTCTGCACAGCCGCAGCGCCCCATGAGCCAGTATCACAAGACAGACAGGCCACAAAAGAAGCAAGTGCAGCAAAAGAAAAAGCACAGTGCTCGCTGTGGTTGAAGGGGGGGGGCGTCTTTTTGGCCAGCAATGATGGCGACTGCTGTGGATGCGGATGGAAATCTGACCAAAAAAAAAAAAAAAAAAAAAAAAAGCTACTTCAAAATGCAAGGCGAGCGACCCACTCGCAGATGACACGGAACAGAGCACTGGTCAATGGGGCCACACGGGGCACAACTAGCAGAGAGCCACAAAAAGCCAATCTGCAGTTCGATCCACAGGCCCTCGGGCAAACTCCTGGACGAGCGGACTGCGCACTCGTTGGAAGTTGAGGTCGTCTCTCAGTCACACACACCACAACGGCAACCACAGACTAGCCTGCTCGTCTCGCCGAGGTCCCTTCGCACCAGACCAGGGCGACGTCAATACACCACTGACAGAGCTGCGTAGTGTGCTGACCCACTCCAACCCAACAGAGTCGCCTCTGGCTCCTGGATCACTGTCATGAAATAATAATAATAAAAATAAATAAAATAAAACAAAAAAAATAATAAAAGGAAATTTTGAACCAAAAAAAAAAAAAAAAAAAAAAGCTCCCCGTCTCGACGAGCGGTTCGATTTGGGGCGGATGCACAGGCAGATCACCGCCGCGTCATGGTGAAAGCAAGGCAAAGCCAGGCCAGTTGTCGAGAATGGGGCTGAGCGGGCGCGGGGGCGGGGGCGGGGGAAAGGCATGATGCAACCCCGCGACACGCCGAGCGTGCTACACAACGAAAGTCGCCCCAGAATTTTGTCGCCTCGCATCCAACAGATTTGCTTGCGCGTGCGCACACAGCAGCAGAAGCGCAGGCGCAGATTCACTGCAGAGCAAGTAACTCAAGCCCCAAAAGAGAGCTCGAGGACCAAGGTTGGTCAGTCCCGGAGCGCATTCTGAACCAAGCTAAAAGAAAAAAAGCAAACGAAAAAAAAAAAAAAAAGAAAAAGCAGAATTTTGCACAAAGCAAATCTCTTTACACAAACTCGAATGATCGTCCTTCCAAGCTTGGGTGCAAGCAACAAAACTCTCCGAGAATTTAGCAAGTGAGATTGTATTGCACAGCCGGGGGAGGAGGGATGGAGGGAGGAGAGTGAGAGAGGACTCTGCGATCGCTGCTGGGTTTTGTGGGATTTCGTCTGAGCAAAAAAACGAAAGTCCCATTCGGGTCAATGCGAGCGAGGTAAGTTGCTGATGGAATTGCAAACAAGTACTGACACAAAAAACGACACGTGCACAAAATAAACTCATTCGAAGAAACGAGGACAACCAACGAATAACTGTTACACGCATTTCTTCTCAATGTATGCCTTGCCCGATTCTTCGTACTCTTGCTTTGACATCCACATTTGTTGAAAGGAGCCGAGGGAGGCCAGAATGGAGCCGCCAATCCAGCTGCTGAACATGCGTTCGACACTGAGCCCAGAGGCCACTGTTTTGAGCTTGGAGATGGCGGGCAAAGCCATGCGCAGCTCCGCGTCCAGCCGCTCGGGCAGGCCTCGGACAAGACTACCGCCACCGACAACAATAACGGACGATCCAATGCTTGGTCGGACATCCACGTCACACGAGTTGATTGCGGCAGTTGCCAGGCGATGCAGACCGATGGGCTTGGGAGCCGCCAGCCCTCCTGCTGGATCTTTCGTCCCGTCCGAGGTGGCGTCCATCGCGGATGCGGACGACGCGCGTGAAGAAACACTAACAGCTGGCGCGGTCTGCAGAACACAAGAGTTTGGTGTGAATGTGCAGGGGGTCCCTCACCTTTCAGCAAAACGTTGACAAAAAAAAAAAAACCAAGGAAAAAAAAAGCAACTGTGCACACAGCCTACCGCATCTGCATGCGTCTCAGGATCAAACAGGGTCTCAGCCAGACGATAACGATCAGCTCCTAGCGAAATGTTCAAGCCGTCGGGGAACTCGAACGACGCTGCGGGCAAATTGGCAACAGAACTAGAGACATGGAAAGTTAGTTGACGACAGGATAGACGCACAAATCAAGTCAAGCCAAAGAAGGACTCTTACTCGCGATCGAAAGTGCGGCCAGAGCAAAATAGCACACTGTGCACAAAATCTTGAAGCACAAGCTGTTGAACGAGCATTTTGAGACAGCTCAGCAACGGGCATGAAACATCGCGATTGGAGTTAGCAGCCGTACCTGCTTGGAATAGCGATGGAAGGAGTCTGAGATTGGCTCGGCAAATGTTCGTGGTGTCCACTTGGGAGCAGCGTTCAGCGCGACCGCTTGCTTCGAGGCAACCATGTATGAAGGGCGTATGACGATCTGGTTCTTTTCCAAGTATTGCGCACACTGGCTCAAGAGAAAATCGCCACCAACACTGCTGGTCATGATGGCTGTTCAATTGCGCAAGGCGGGGGAGGAGATGATCAACACCATGTGAGCTACAGCCAAGCCATTCAGTTCACAAACTCCAACCAGCCGAGCCAACCAGAGTAAATTACATTTGGGCATCACAAACCCGTCCACGACAGGTACAGCGCTAGAGAGTGAGGCTCCAATATCCAACACAAGCCCAGTGGGTCGTCCATTGGCAAAGCTGCAATAGCCAGAGGAATGGTATGAGCACCAACGCATGATATGAGCACCCAAACAAAAGCAAACACAATCCCGCGCCCTGCCCCCCCCGCGCCACAAACGCCTGCCTGATTGATACATCACGTTCCTCACTTCCTACACCAGGTCACTCAAACCCCATCCTCGCTTACGCAGATGCCACAGCACTCCGGGCCAGGTAGAACGCCGGCACGTTATACTTTTCGAAAAACAGCTCCGTCATGTGCTCACGGCTTTCGCGGGGATTCCAAGACGGCTCAATCATGAGGAGGGGATGTTGGGCAGCATCCACACGCAACCCAGTCGCAAAGCCGTAATCTGCCAGGAGCTCAAAGCGCTCCCAATCTTCGACTGCAACGCAAAAACGAAATGAGCAACAAACGATTCAAAATCCTTTCGTTCCTTCCCAGCAAAAAGTTTTGCAGCAAGATCGGCGCTATACAACACGGCCGAGCTTTGTGATGTTCGACGTACCAAGACCGTTCTGCATGACTCCGGCCAGATCAACGTTGGAGCGCACAACTGCGAGCGTTGTCGTACCAACGTAGCTTTTGCGGCTGCGCCGTGCGGCGCCACCCGCCGTGCCTGACGGCAGATCACGATCGGAGGTATCCATGGGTACAGAGTCCTGGCTCGCGGCATGATGGCTTGGGGCCAGTCCGACCACCGACGGGAAGACGGATTTCGGGGTGTCTTCTCCAGCAAAGCCAAAGCGCGTTGTGGCCGAGCCAATGTCAAGCACCAGCGCGCCGACCTCATCTGCAATGAATGGCAAGTCGAGCAAACGGAGGTTGGGTGGCGGGAGAAGAGGGAGGGTGAGCAGTTGAACAAGGTGAGCAGAGATTGGGATGGAGCTGAAAGGGATGGGTTTGAGATCCGGACTGCTCACTGACTCGAGCCCCTCGCTCGTCGGTCTGCACACGCAACGCATGCCCGTTCTGCCGAGTTTGGGAACGCGTGCGAGGCGGGCGGAAGTTGGGGCCCACAGCAGGCCAGAGCTCATCATCAATGCGAGATCTACAACTTTTTTTTTTGGCGCCATTTCAATGCGCGCGCCTCCGCTCATTCTGCCTGAATGGCCTGCGCCACTCTACTCCTCGGCGATGCTTGCAACGGCATCACAAAAGCAAATCAACGCTTCGGTTTCGAATTATCGACGGTTCTTGACAAAGCAGCACCCCAAACGCATTGAATCTGTGACAAACCTCCTCCGAACATTGCGCCACTCATGGTTGTAAATCAACGAATGGACTGGACTGCATCGCTGTTGGGATTGGAAATATCGCCGACACGTTCATGTAGATCTACAGATGTATATTTCGAGTTCGAGATGGCCTTTCATCGCCAAGGACGTGACGAGCAACGTTATTCCTGTCCGGTATTCCCCCGTGCAATCGTTCACTGTGCTCACGTTGAGACTCAAGGACGAGGTATGAAAGGTGATTGCGAATGCATGTGTAGAGCGTCCAGACAGCGATGGAGGAGTTGGCTTGATTCTGCGCAGAATTCAGAGTGCACCGTTTTTGATAAAAGAAGAAAAAAAAAATCGTCGTCAACTTCCACACATTTGCAACAACGCGCAATACTTTCTTCACTCGGGATCTAGTGTGTCGACCATGGGTGGCCTGGCAGAGTCAACACCAAGAAATCCAGCTAAGGTAACAACTTTTATAAGGTCAACGCAAAGAAAAGAAGAAAAACAAACAGAGGATCGAGGTGAGCAAACAAACACCGGAAGAGCGAATAGCCAAGAACGACCGAAATAACAGCACAACAGAAAGGCCTGAAAGACAAGAAAAATAAACCACCAAGGCACTAGCTCGATGGCTGCAGTGCTACTGTGGCATCGCGGCTTTCTGGGAATCGTGCGTGGTACATTGGCTCTGGAACGTAATCGGCAGTGATGAGCTTGCCCGCAAACCATCGGCCGTGCATGGTGCGTTGGACGGCAATACATGCTTCCACGGAGGAGAACTTGATAAACACAAAACCCTACCAACAACACCCAAGTCAGAAAACAGGCCAATGCGTTCATACGTTAACACAAGGTAAGTGCTTACAGGAGAGTTTGCATCCACGAAAATATGAGTGACAGAGCCATGCTTGACGCATTCGTCCAACACGGTGTCGCGAATGTCGAGTTGCCACTCGGGATCCCGTTCTCTGCAAATCCGAGCAAAAACACACACACACACACAAAAAAAAAAAAATAAAAAAAAATGAGCACACAGAAAAAGCGAGCCGAGAGCCATCTCATAGCAACAGCAACGCCATCAGAAGACACTTACTGCGCAGGATCAAACATGTTCTTGAGGAGCAAAAACTGCGTTTCAATGGCCACATTCGAGAGGTCGGCTGTGGGATTGGCATCCATCGGCGGCAGACCCATCGGAGGCAGACCCATCGGAGGCAGACCCATCGGAGGCAGACCCATCGGAGGCATGCCCATCGGAGGCAGACCCATCGGAGGCATGCCCATTGGCGGGCCAGCGTTTGGCGCATTCAGGAAACGGCCTTCAGGATCTGTGGCAAAGTTGACCTTCAACGGGCGGCCTGCAACTTCCACACCGTTCAATTCCATAGCAAGCTTTGCGGCTCCGGCATCCGCAAACTGGACAAAGGCGTATCCCTTTGACTTGCCATTGTCACGGTTGAGCGTGACGCTAATCACCTCGCCACAAGGCGAGAACAGACTCTTGACATCCGCCTCGGTCAGAGCAAAGTCAAGCGAGCCGACGTAGACGCGTGTCTGCTGCTTGGCGGCCATAGCGATGGCTGCGGTGCCCAAGGGGGCGGCGGGGAGTGGAGCCGAGTGGACTGCAGACGAGTGCAGCGGCATGGTGTGGTAAACGTTCTGGACGGTCATCCCCGAGTTCATCTGGTAGGTGGCAATGTTGTAGGCTGCGCTGTTCGGGTTGAGGGTCACGGGGCGCGCAATCGCCGCCGGCGTGTTGGAAACACCGCCAGCGTTGGCACCCATCATGGCGAGGGCCGCAGCAGCGGGTTTGGTTGCCTGCACGAGCATGGGGATATTGTCAATGCGGCGCGAAGACAGACCCATCGCCTTCGACACGGCGGCAAAGTCCTTAAACTCGACATACGCAACACCACCAGCACGACCGCGCGCACGGTCGGACTGGATGGCGACATCGCGAATCTCGCCACACTCACTAAAGACCTGTTCAATCTCGTGCTTGCGGACATTGGTGGGCAGTTGGTGCACAATGACCGTGTTCTTGAGTCGCTCGTCGCGCTCGGCGGCCATTCGGATTTCCTGTTCTTCACGGGTGAGCGGCACACCAAACTGGTCGACAACGAACTCTGGCGCCTTCGTCTCTGCAGCCGGCGGCGCGGCATCGGCTCCGCCTGCTCCAGGCCGCGACGACAACGAGGATGAGCGGCGAGGGGATGCACTGCGGCTGCGATCGCGCGAGCGGCGCGAGCTGTCGCGGGAGCGGTCTCGATCGCGGTCCCGGCTGTCCCGGTCGTCATCGCGCGAGCTCCTGTGTGATGACGAGTGGCGGCTCGACGACGACGAATATCGGCTCGACGACGAGCGATGGCGGTGGGAATCTGGCGAGCGTGAGCGGGATCGTGAGTGAGAGCGCGAGCGACGACTGCTGCTGCTCGAGCGATAGTCGCGGTCTCGGTCGCGGTCCCGGTCTCGGTCGCGGTCCCGGTCGCGGTCTCGGTCGCGGTCTTGATCTCGTCGCGATGAGGATGACGAGTGGTCGCGTTCGTGTTCGCGCTCGGCGGATGTGGCTGATTCGGGCGGCGGTGGCGCAGCGGCAGCGACAGCAGAGTCCTGTCCAAAGCAAGCAGCAATGAGGATGGATACGCCCGCAAACACAATAACAACAGCAACAGCAACACAATAGCTCGCTCATGGAAAGTCGAGGTGAGTCGAAGCGAGAGAGAGAAGGAGAGAGTGGGAACACGAGATCGCAGCAACGACGACGACGACGGCTCCACTTCAGGTCCGCCCTGCCACCCCACTTTGCAGTCTCAAGCCAAGGACGCCGAGCAAGTAGAACTCGTGATCTCAATGCAAAAACAAAATGCGAGCAGTGACCGCAACGCAATGAACGAAAACGTACACTCATTGAAACAAAAGCAGATGGAAACAAAAAAAAAAAAAAAAAAAAAGTGAATGGAAAAGACTGGGAAAAAAAGAACAGCCAAACAAAGCAAGTCTGAGAAACAGTGAAAATGAGAGAAACAAAAAACAAAGCAGCATTCAACACAAACAGTCCGTTTGTGTGTTGTTTCATGGAAACTCAGAACTCAGTCATTGTTTTTTTGCTTGTAAATACACACCCCATTGACTTTTTGTATGGTAAGCGCGACATTGCCGAAGGGGGAAGAGCAAAAGGGGGCTTCTCTGCGTCCCCCCCCCCTGCATTTGCATCGACACAGTTGCAAGTATAGCAACACCGCGGCGAGAGAGAGAGAGAGAGAGAAGAGGAAGCGGATGAGGCGGCCAGTCGCTTTGGCGTTTTGAGCCAAGACTCGTTCCATGTGCGCTGCTGCCTGTTGTTCGCTTTCCACAATCGCTTTGGCGCCGCTCCCAACTTGCACCACTTTTGTCCTTGCCCTGGAACGAAACAATGACAATGGCACTCACTCTTGTCGAAATTCCTCCCCCCCCCCAAACACATGGGCTTTGTGCCGCTGCTGCTGGACAGACAACAATGGTCCTGATTGGAACTGCCCTGGCTGCTGTGGGCGTCGCTGCTCGCGCTGTGATTCGCGCCTCTCGTCCGATTGCTCAGCAAGCAGCTGCGTCTGCCGCGCTGCCTGGGAATGCGCCGTCGCGAGCAAACACAACGGCAGGGGCCAACGGCGGGTCTGCAGGCGACAAGGCCGCCGCCAACGATGCCGCCAAGAGCGCTGCTGGCGCGACAGCCGGCCCGAACGGCGGTGCACCAACGTCGCAAGGGTTCTTTGGCAACCTGTTCAACAACCTCACACAAAAGCGCTACGACAAGGGCGGATTCGAGCCCGTCATGACTCGGCGAGAGGCTGCTTCCATTTTGAACGTTGGGTACGTTTCATTTGCCATCCCGGTCGCTTTGCCAACAACGCGCAGTGGTCATTTGATTGTCACCAAAAAAAGCACTCACCTTGCTGATGTGTTACTTGCCGTGTGTTGCGTCTTTTCACCCCGCGTTTCTTTTTGTGTGCACCGATTAGCGTTAACGCGCCCAAGGAGAAGATCAAGGAGGCGCACAAACGCGTCATGGCCATCAACCACCCAGATCGCGGTGGTTCGCCGTACATTGCCGCCAAGATCAACGAAGCCAAGGACTTGCTCGAGTCCAAGAAGCAAATGTCGTCCGACCGGTGATTCTTTTGTTTCAAAAACAATGTTATTATCCAGAGTACAATTTTGTCCGTGTCTTTTTGTGAACTGTGCAATGTCTTTGTGCAGCACCAGTTTCCCAGTTCTCGCTCAAGATGCACACAAGAAATAACAATGCTAGTGTATTTGAGCGCGCACTCAATTGGCTTGTTCCACCTCTGCAACCAAACGCAGCCTCTTCTCAACATGCTGCGCCTCGCCGTTATCAGTGCCAGATTCTGGTTCTTGGTCAGACTACAAAGCACCACAACGAAATGAGACCAGGGAAAGGACCATGAGCAGCTATTGATTGGGTCAAGTTGATCTTCTCGCAAGCAAAACCTACCACTTTGCGTTTTTGACGTGGATCAAGTGGGTGAGCGTCAAAGCTAGTATCTGGGCTTGTCGATGGAAGACCATGATTCTAAAAGAGCGCACGAGCCAATTGGAGATACCGATAGTTTCACCAAACAAACAAAACAAAACCAAAACGGTTGAGCTCAAAAACAGTCCAGATCGATTTTGCTTCATTGACATTTGCAGCCAATCAACCAGATGCGCAATGTCGGAGCATGGTTCAAAGAGCGAAAGCTGTCCAAGATCGAACGGGCGACGTCGACGTTCGCTCATGAACGGGCGAGGCAGGAAAGAAAACAAAAAAGAGCAACGTCCAAACTTCTTCCACACAAAAAAACAACGGAACAGTGCGCGCTCCACATCGCTGCATCACCGCGAAATACACGAGAAGCGCGACAATAGTAAAAAGCATCCCTGAATTGTGTTGGTACAATGCCATCTCCAAGTTTTTCTGATACTTTTGACAAACCGAAACAAGAAAAAAAAAAGCCTGTTCGAACACAGAGAAAAAACACTTACCGTGACAGCATCGGCATGGCAGCGAGTGTGGAATACCTGCGCACCGACGCGAACAGCACCAACGAAGCGCCATTCCTCGTCGTCCTGGTTGTACACACGCTCCAGTTTATCCCCGCAAATGCTGCACTCTGTTGCGTCGTCGGGCAGCACGGCAACCGCAGCATCAACGGATTCGCCAGCGCTGGCACCGCCCGTCGCCCCTGACGTCTGACCACCATCTCTGCCAGTCCCATCCGTGAAGAAGGCAGGCTGCCGCTCGTCGTCTTCTTCCGTCTCCTTGTATTGGAGCCAGTCGTCCACCGGGAGGTACCAGCGGCGCGATCGGACGTTCTTGTCGCGCTCGCGTTCTCGCTTATTGGCGCGGAAGTGCCAGTCCATATGCTCGGCCATGGCTGTCCGCCGGTCCGCGGGAAAGCGAAACGCGCATTGTGTGCATAGCAGCGGTCGCCATGAATAAAGGCTTTCAACCACGTCGTTGCGGAAGCTACAGCAAGAGCACAAGGTTGGTCAAGTTAGTTCGGGAGGTAGGAAAACAAAGCAATACAAAACGAAACAAAAACAAACAAACAAACAAACAAACAAACAAACAAACAAACAAACAAACAAACAAAAAAAAAAAACACAACTTCGGGCAACGTACGTTTTTACTGCGTCAGAGTCCAGAGCAACGTGGGGCAGGGCCATCGAGGCGCCGCTGCTGGCATGACCAGAGCTTCCGGTGGGAGGAGGAATGACTTGAGGAGCAGAGAGCGGAGTGGCGGACTGAAGTGCACCGCCGGTCAGGGCGCCGAGAGCCCCGCTCTGCATAAATTGTTGAAGCAAGCTAGACACGTCGAGTTTGCCTTCCGGGGGAGCTGTCTGCAATTGCGACAAAGTTGGCGGCGGTTGTTGCGATTGGGCGTCTGGTGGCAAGGGAGCGTAGTAGGACTGTTGTACGGGCTGGTTGAACTGCGGTTGCATCAGGGACCGCAAGTGCGCCTCAGCTTCGTCCAAATCGGCGAGTTGGCGGCGCAGCTGAGCGTGCTGGTGCACGGCCATCGGATCGCGTAATCCGGCCAGCAGGCTCGCGCGCAATCCGTCCCGCTCAAACTGCGGCCAGCTGGCGAAAATCTGTGCATCATACGATAACGGGCGAGTGGGTGGCGCCTGCTAGAGAACAAAACCCCAACGAATTCAGCGACGAGGCAAGATGAGCAACAAAGCAAAATGCCAAAAAAAAAAAAAACAAAAACAAAGCACTACGATCAAGCTCACCGAAGCGTAGGCAGGGCCAGCATTCGACCACTGTTGTGCACCACCTGCAACCATGCCGCCTGCGTAGAAATTCTGGTGCGCTTGCGGAGGAGGGGCTTCATAGTTTGGCCACACGGAAGAGGTCTGCTGCTGCGGACCAGGAGCGGCTCCACCGTGTGAGGAGGCCATCCTGACATTTGCAGACGCGTCAGGTCGCGGTGCTGCTTGGCGACGCGGATCTGCTGTCTGCGCAAGCCCGACAATGCGATCGCGCAGAAACTGGACGAGCGGCGCAGGGAAGTAGCCCTCCCAGAGATTGAGCACACGGTCGAGTCTCCGGCGGTCTTCACCACCGACAACCGTGTAAGTCTCCACAAATGTTTCGGCTAGGTTGCGCTCAAACAGGCCGGCGTAGGTGGTTCCAATGACCTTGGCTTTGACGATCGAGTCGATGAGGTAGAGGATTGGCAGTTTCCGGTCGGCTGGCACCTGCGCCCGCCCAATCGCACAGCACACACAAAGGTACTTGGTGGTGAGTCATCACGATTTGTCATCATCAACAGCAAACAACAGCAAACAACAGCAACAGACACAGAGGCCGGTCAGAAGAAGGAAAGCGCGCGCAATGCAAGTCTCGAGCGAAGAAGCAAAGTCGAGATCTCGCCCAGTCGAACACTCGCCGCTCTTCCGGTCTGCAGACAACGGCGGAGGAGGTGGAAAACACTGACCTGGCGGAGACGTGCTTCGATGGCAGCAACCACGGCGGGCGCGGCAGACTGCGACTCTGCCGCCAGCTGAGTGAGCATGTCAATGTGGATTTTCGAGTTGACTTTGAGAAAGTCGAGCGAGTCGGAAAACTCTCGAAAGGTGCGCTGGTACTCTGCACTGGCTGGGTTGCTTCCTGCCATGGCTCTCTCAGGAAAAAAAAAAAAAAAAAAAAAAGAAATAACGACTGGTATTTTCAGAAAAGTGCCGAGAGCGAAAACAGTCGAACAGGACAATCGATGGATCTCAAAAAAAAAAAAAAAAAAAAAAAGCTGTATTGCGAGTCCGCTTCTAATATCATTCAACCCGAACCTCAAAACAGCAGCGCAGCAAGCTCGCTTTTCAAACAAGACGGAAACGCAAGACAGAACAGTTTTCACACAAACAACCGAATCAACACGTTGATGACTCGCAAGAATGCTGGGCGAATCCAGGTCGCCGACCAACCGGAACTGTGGATGCTACCCGTCACCTGCACAGATTCCTTGATGACTTTGATACCACGCGCGACCATCACCTTTTCGTATTGCTGCAGAGCTTGGATCAGCGCTAGTGAGTCACCAGCAGCGCCGGCAATGGATTGGGCGAGATCGGCGGCATCTGCAACGGCCGTGTTGGCGCCGAGACCACGATGGGTGGTTGTCGCATGCGCGGCGTCACCGAGAAGAATGACGCGTCCACATGGCGGCGAAAGGAGCGTTCGCACTTGGGCCACTTCTGTCGAGTAGATTTGGCGAGGGCCAAACAAGTTCACCTCAGTGGGCGTGGCTCGGATAATGTCGGCAAGATCGGGCGCAAACCTTGCTTGGGTGCGCGCAACGCAATCCTCCATCAGCGCCTGTCGTGCATGGCTTGACTCTGAGTACTCGTCGGTCACGTCCTCGCCAGAGCCGCTGAACTTGCCCTCCCAGTCGGCGCGCTGGCCAGGGTAGGACAAGACCCACATGAGCTGGGACTGCTGGCCTTCCTTCACGGCAAAGACCGGGAACATCATGACCGTGTGGCCATCAGGGCCAAGCCAACGCACGAGCCCATCGTTCACAAGCGTGCGAATGGCGGGCGAGGCGGATTCGAGCGGGCTGACACCCGCGATCGTCGTGACGCCGAGGTCGTTGTACCGCACTGCAGGGGCGCGCTGCTCGCGAACGGGCGAGTTGGCACCATCTGCACCAACGAGAATGTCGGCGGTGGCCGTGGAGCCATCGCGGAATTGGATGTGCACCGCGCCGTCCTCGAGGGACTCGCTGTACGACACGAACTGCTTGTTCCACTGCACGTCCAGTCCTTGCAAGAGTGCCTGGCGCAAGTCCACACGATTGATAAAGCAGCCTCCAGCCGGGACAGGGAAGTTGACGAGAATGTTGTGGTTTGCATCGACCATGCGAGCAGCGGTATACGTCGACCGGCTGTCCTTCAGCAGCTCCGCCAGCTTTGGCAGATTCTCAAACGTCGGCTGGAGCAATGCCACTGTTTCGCCAGTGAGGCCCAGATAGTAGCCTTGGTCGCGGGCTTCGGCGGTAGCGTCGCGTTCAAACACCTGGACGAGGACGTCCGGGTTGTTGCGGATTCGCAGCAGCTGAGCAAGGACGAGTCCGCCAATGCCTCCTCCGATGATGGCAACACGCAGCGGCATTTTTGACTTTTGGGGGTTGGCTTGTGAAGGTGATTTTTTGGTTTGTGAGATGATCGCTCGACTTGGCGTTGATTGAGGAGGACTGAGCTGCCAAAAGTTGTGCGGTTTTAAATGTCAACAAAAATCGCCAAGACAAACAAAAAAGCAAACAACCAACCAACAAACATACAAAAGAGCTGAAAACCTCGACCGCCAAGACATGATGCATGCACGAGTGTGTCGTTGCAGTTTGTTATTGTGATGGTCATTGGGCGCAACAGAAGGTGTATTTTGTCAAGGGATGCGGGCGGCGGGGGAAAGAGGAGAAGGAACGGGATCGTTGTCTCGTTCTTGATCCTGCTTACGTCCAAGCACAGCAAATGGGCAATTTGTCAAGCTCGTTTTGTAAATGATTCGCAGATCTGCATGATGATTTTGCACACTGCCGCACATTGGACTCAGCACTTTCGCTGAATATCCCTCGAGTTCAGCCAACGAATTGTCTACAATGCGCTTCCGATCCACCAGCAATCACACGAGAACCGTGTTTAATTGCCCATCAAACTATCTGTTGGGAAGCGACAATGGAGCACGCCGTGGGACGAAAGTGCTGAGGCTGCCGACAAAATTCGTGTCGCTGAGATTTTGGGCCAGAGTTTTCCATTCAATTTCAACCACTTCTCCGCAACCTGACCAAACATCAAAATGTCATATCAGCCTGTTCTGTTGTTATGTTTGCCAGTCCATCAAATACACATCCCCACAGAAAGCCGCCATGTTGATGCTTCGGTTGGCGCGGTTTGGCCAAATCCACCACCCAGTATACCGGATTGTCGTTGGAGAGCGCGGCCGCCGACGCGACGGCAAGCACCTCGAGCACGTCGGCACCTACCACCCAGAGCCAGACACTAACGGAGTCCGCCGCGTCACATGGAAGGTCGACCGCATCAAGTACTGGCTGTCTGTCGGTGCCCAGCCGACCGAGCGCGTTGGCAAGCTTCTTGGCCTTGTGCGTCTGTCGTTCCACTTTTGATCGCCCACCTCGGGTTCCCTCCCACTCCCACTCCACGGCCCTCATCCCAATGCAATCATGGCGTCAGAATCTGCCACGCGCCATTCGTTTAGGTGGCGCAGAGTGGAGCGCTGTTGAAAAGCGACAGATCTCAAAAAAAAAAAAAAAAACCAAAGTTTTTTCCATTGGAGCTGCATTGGCCTCGTGGTGACGCGACAGTCTGCCAGCCAGAACGGTCGGACGCTCTACGTCCCTGACGCAACTGGGTTGAAAATGGCCGGCATGTGCTATTCCTGGCCGGAATTGTGCGAGTGGAGGTGGTTTTTGCTTGTCTGCTGGACTTTGGGAGTGTTTTTGGCTGGAATTGTTGAACTTTGTTCCCAAACGTCTTTCGTTGTTGTGAAGATTCCATGGCTGGCACGATGCTCAACTCACTCTTGAATGAACCACTGCCTTTTGACTGTGTTCTTTGTGTGTCAGGCTGGAATTCTGCCGTTGCATCCGCGAACTACATCAGCGCTGCACGCACAAGCCATCACACCTAGCGTCTTTACATATCAGGCACAGATCCGACCGCCGTCGGACAAGAAGGATGAGCCCGCAGCCCCTTCAGAACGACCCGTCAAGCTGCCAGCAGAAATTTCTTCCCCTCTCCTTGACTAAGCCAAAGGAAACAAAAAAACAACAAAAAGCAGGGACAACAATCAACAAGAAAGCAACAAAGATCATGCATGCTCCCACCTTGTTGTCACAAGCACCAACCTTACTGCTGGCAACTGTTTGTACCTTCTTCGTGGATGAATGTGCTTTCTGGAGGATGAGTATCCTGGCTGTGATACAACAAAAGAAAAATAATAAAAAGCTTGCACTGTAATTGCTGTCCTCCAGCAGCTGCTTCCCAAATGGCAGGAGCTCCAATTCAGTTGAGTCGAGTACCATCATGCTTGCAATCCTATTGAAACAGGGTGGTGAAGTGCAGACGGGCTTCAGAACAATTGGTCGTTTAAAACCCACAAATGGCTCAATGTACAGTCTCGAGTTTGTGCACCTTTTAGGCTTTTCCTTCATCCAAGTTGCATTTTAGCACAACTTCCATTAGCATCTCACTTCCCAAAACCAGACAGAGCTCATTCTTGGGACGATCTTTCAAACAAATTTACAATGGTAAACGTTTCAGCCAAAAACATCGTTTTTTTTTTTTTTTTTTTTTTTTGGTTTTTGGTTTTTGTGCTCACTTGCGATCAATCGTTTCTCTCCCCCAATCCACCCACAGACGGAGGGCGTGAATCCCAAGGCTTACCCGCTTGCTGACCCCCAGCTGACCACCACCATCCTGGAGCTTGTCCAACAGGCTGCCAACTACAAGCAGCTCAAGAAGGGCGCCAACGAGGGTGAGTTTTTTTTTTTTTTTTTTCTTTTCTCTTCCACGCGTTCGTTCGATCTCGCGTTTTTGGTCCTTCCTCCTCGCCCCTGCGCCTGTGGATGCAACGAGTTGGTCCAGTCTAGTTCTAGCAGTCCATCTTGTGCTTGTAGCGTTCACTTTCAACAGCGATCAACAATCGTCGCCGGAACGATCGCATTGTCAAGCGCCCCACGTTGTGCATTGGCAGCATGGCTTTTTTTTTTTTTTTTTTTTTTTTTTTTTTTTTTTTTTGCATCGCCTCGTCCTCGGCTCATTGTCGTGATTGCGACGCAGCATTGCATGGCAGCGACTGACTGCGACATCAGCTTGCATCCCATGTGTGAGACGCGCCGTGGGCCCATCGGAGAGCCACCACAATCCTGCCTTTCTCCCATTTGCTCGTTTTCCTCCACATGGTCTCACTTGCCATCTCTCTCTCTGTCTCTTCTCACAGCTACCAAGACCCTGAACCGCGGCATCTCCGAGTTCATTGTCATGGCTGCCGACGCTGAGCCGCTTGAAATCCTGCTCCACCTCCCCCTGCTTTGCGAGGACAAGGTAAAAACACCCGTTTTCCGTGCGCATGCTCTTTGTCCACATTTGTCATCGTTTGAGCTCACTCATTCCCTGGCTCCACGCTCCTTCTTACCATCAACAGAACGTTCCGTACGTCTTCGTCCCCTCCAAGCTTGGTCTTGGCCGTGCTTGCGGTGTGTCGCGCCCGGTCATTTCCGCTTCCGTCACCTCGAACGAGAGCTCGCAGCTTCGTGGCCAGATCCAGCAGCTCAAGACCTCGATCGAGAAGCTCCTGGTTTAAGCAACTGCAGCATATCTTATTAAGCCAGTTCTGAAAACGCATGCAACACCTAAAAGCTGGGTTGCGTGTGTGTGCGGCCCTTCGAGATTTTGTGTTTTGCTTGTTTTGATACGCTTCGTTCATCTGTTTGACGTTCTCAAAGCAACGAAATATATATTCATTGAAACCGCACATTCGTGACCATTGTGGAATCTGTTGAACGAGGCCAACCTTCTATGAACAGTCAGTCCAGTTGATCAAGGAACAAAAGTTGTGACGAGCCGAGATCTACGCGACATTTGGCTCTTTGGGCTTGACTGGACTGGATTGAGGAGGCTCGTCTTGCTTGTCTGCTGTCCGGTCGGCTGATTGGGAGACAGAGCTCGGGTTTGCTTCCGTTGGCCGCGGGCTTGATCGACTGGACGTTTGGGACGACAAGGACTCGATTCTGTTCTCTGCTTCTTGGAGCTGGACGATGACAAAGCAAAGTAAACGGAAAGCAGGAGGTGAGACAGGGGGAGGGAGGGGAGGAAGCGGCGGCGGAAATGAGCACAAACGTTAATTTGAACAAATCAGCAAATCAACAACTGCGGCACATACCTTTGCACGGAGCTGAGAAACCAAACTGTGCAAGTCCCAGGCCCTTTCACTCGCGTCGTGGGAAATCCAACGCACACCTCTGTCCTCTTGCTTTTTGCGACGGGTGTACAGCATGCGAACTTCGGCGGCAACCTCCAGCTCACGCGCCGAAAACTTGTCATAGGCCTCACGCAGCTGGGCCAAACTCGCATCGGCCAGCTTATTGAGGATTGTTTCCTGCGAGCGGTTGAAGCAGGTGAGTTTCTGACAAGGACAGGAAGAAAAAAAAAAAAACACGATAAACCCCCGCAGAGACTCACCTTATTAAACTCCTCAACCGGCGCCTCGATCTTGGGCTCTCGTTCGAGCGAAATCACATAATTCTCCTCTTCAGTCAGCGACGGAAGCGTGGCGACAAAGGCATGTAGCCCCAGAATGGCCGGGGACTTGGCTCGAGTGCGCAAACTCAACAAGTTCGAGATGATCTCCTCAGACTTGGATTTCCGGAGTTCAGGATTGGCCAAGTAGGCGGCATCAACGTACGCCAGGTCAGACAAGTACACTCCGAGAAAAGGGACCATTCGTTCGTTCAGGGCCAACAGCTTCCCTGCGTGAGCGCGATAGTTGGCAAAGTTGTCGTCGGGTTTGAGTACATTTTGGAGCTCCTGACGAACTGCCAGATACTTGACGTTCACGCTCTGCATGAGACCGGGAAAAAAAGTCAGAGTGAAACGCAAAGCAAAGCAAACCAACAACAAAAACAAACAAACAAACAAACAAACAAAAAAAAAAAAAAAAAACACCAAACAAACAAACCGAGAAACTGCAACATCGAACGGCTCACCTGCCAAGTCTTTTTGAGCCTAAATATAGACGTGGCTGTTAGCGCATTGAGAATCGCATTGGCGCCGTTAAAGTTGTGCAAATGAAAGCAAGCTTGGGCGCATTTGATGGCATGGACGATCAATGCGGCCCGTCCCGTGGGATTCTTCTTGGACAGGATTGCCGTTATGATGAACAGTGTCACCTGTGCCATGTTCAAAGTCAAAGTCAGGGATTGGTGGAATGTTCAAGCGAATGGGGAACCGTGACGATAATTAAAACAATAAATTGTTTAAAAAAAGTCTCCAAATCAGTCGTCGACCCCGCAACTCACCTTGTTGAACTGCGCAATACACGCTAAAATATTGGGTGCAAGAGTTTGCTTGTTTTTCTTCAGCCACGACGTGCGGTGGCATTCCTCGGCCGTGATTTTGCAAAACAGCTCCATGTCCACTCTGGTAATTTCTTGGGCAAAATCGGAAGCATCGATATCGAGCAACTGAACGTTTGCATGTGCATAAAACTGCGCAACGATCAAAGGTTAGATTTGGCATGCACAGATTGTCGGCCGCTGCCACGCAGCACACTCACTTCGTGATCTAGTAGAAGGGTCTCAACGGCCGTGATGCATCGCGCTAAGAATTGGGCATTGTCTTCGTTTGGGTTTCGCGGCGTCTTGTCTGATTTGAGCGCGCTTTCCGCCGTCTGTCGGAAGATGTCTACGAGATCTGCCCAGGGCTTGGATGCGTTGCCGAGATACTTGTTTGACGACACGAGAAAGTCTTGAAGCATTCCAATCCAACTGGACGGAGGGTGGGTAAGAGCGGTGAGCAAAAGGCGGGGGGGGGGGCATTGTTGTGATTCCACAAGTTAGACAACCACTTGTTTGACTTTAGGGAAGCAAAAAAACAACATTTGACGTGATCCTTACACAAGATATTGCGGTTCACTCACGATCGGCTGCAAACGCTCAGCCTCCAAGCGCAACCGAACAAACGGCGCCGATGAGCGTGTGAATCGCTGTTTGAGGAGTGTTGCCATATGCAAAAGGTAAGTCAAGATATGGTAGAGGACAGCGAGAGCGAGAGAGAGAGAACGAGACAAACCATATTCTGTTGCTTGCTAGAGGCAGTGTTCAAGCTTTCAGACAGTTGCTGCCGAATGACCTCGTGAGGGGTGGAGTCCTCCGAAACAACCGAGTTATGGCTAATCTCGCGCGATCACAAAACCAACGGGGGTAAGTCAACAGCACAAAAAGCAACAACAAAAGCCGCAGCTGAGTGCAACATCTTACCTTGACGATATCTCACTGCGCATCAAGCATGAATCGGCAACAAGTGGACTGCAGAAGCGATGACATACGACTCGACACACTGAAAGCAACAAAGAGCAAATCAACATTCTCAGAAATTTGAGTGCATCAAACAACATGAACAACACCCAACAAAGGAAGCATTTACCTGCACAACGCACGCCTGGACGGGAGTCATCCCACCGCGAAATGGACTTGCCACAGACATCGCAGGGAACGCCAGAGTTTGGCATGTACGCAGCGAACGAGTGGTTTGCCTTGGTGAGCGAGGTCAGGTCGGCGAGCGACGCCGTCAGCGACTCGGAGTGGTCCGCCGCAGCCACAGGCAGCCCGTGTTCATCGAGATGCACATCGGGATACGCGCCGTCGTGGTGACCAGCGGCAGAGAACGGCGGGCTGCTCGGCGACTTGGAGACGACCCGTCGGGGCAGCGAAACAAACCCGGCATGAAGAAATTTGGTTGCGAGACTCCCCCGAGCCGATGCATGAGCATCGCCAGCATCCGAAGCAGCCGTGGTTGCTGCAGGGTGGTGCGTGTGCGATTCAAACACTTCTATCAACGCTGGACGCGTGCGGTGCGCAGGAGTCACGACGAGGCGCTGCTCGGCAGCTTCGGCAACCGGCTCGACTGCGTTGGTATGGCTCGACTGGGACGTCACTCTCGGATCATACCCAGCACCAGACCCAGACCCAGCACCAAACCCAGGCACCATCAGCAACTGGGTTTGCTGTTGCGACTGTGACTGTGACTGTGACTGTGACTGTGACTCTGATGACGGATGCGACTCGGATGTCGAGCTTTTGCTCCAAGTACGAAATTTCCGAAACATTTTTTTTTTTCGTACTTGGTTTGACAGGTAAAAAATGCACTTGATAAAGGAAGCAAAATAAAGGAATGAGACTCGGGTCAAGTTCAGTTTGAGAGGAGACAGTGCGAATAGACTGGGGATGCGGGTGATCCAAATGAACGAACGCAACAAGATCCAATAATCAGAATAAACTTAATGTACAAGAGGCCCACACACACACACACACACACACACACACACACACACACACACACACACACACACACACACACACACACTACTTTGACGGAGAACTCGCACCCCCGAGCGACAGCCGATACTTGAGCTCGTCATTTTGACCGGAGAGGCGCGAGCGCTCTTTGGTCTCGCGCTCGAGCGAATCCTTGAGACGAGCAAACTCGCTGGTCAGCTCGCGCTCCGACTCGCGCTTCATGTCCAAGACGGTGATAATCTCCTCGTTCTTGGCGTTGGCAGCGAGCAGCTGTCGACGCAGCGAGACCAACTCGCTGTTCTGCAGAATGAGTCTCGCGTTCTCGGTCTGCAGCTCGCGGACTTGCTGAGACTTGAGATCAAGCACCGTTTGCAGGCTCTGGATTTCGACGGGCAAGTTGGCGTACTTTTGCGCCACAGCCTGCTCGCGCGATGCTGCTTCGGACTGCATTCGAGCTGTTAGTGATGCGAGCTCTGCACGGGCAATGTCGGCTTCGTGATGGACTGCGGCAAGAGCCGTCTCGTGAGCGCCGAGTTGCTCGTCGAGGGCGAGCTGGTGCGCGCCGTTGAGCTCGTCGACAGCAGCGGCGTGCTCAAGACGGCACCGGGTTCGCGTTTCATCGACCTCACGAGCCAGCCGCTCGGCGGCTGCGATCAGCTCATGCTGGTGCTGGGCAACCAGACTGTCGGCGCGCTGCTGGGCTGATGCAGCACGCTGTGTGTGTGCCTCGACACGCGCAGTGGCCTCGGCCAGCTGCGTCTGCAGCACCTCAACGGAAGCGAGCGAGGCATCAAGGGTGGCAGTCAACTTGGCGTTCGTGGTGGCGGCGTCCTGGAGCTCAGACTGCAGCCGACTTTCGGCAGCAACAAGCACGTCGCGCTCGCCCTTGACTTGTTGCAGCGCAGCTTCACACTCGACAAGCTCTTGCACAACAACGTCAATTTGGGTGGAAAGGGCTTCGCACCGCTCTGTGGTGTCGCGCAAAATGTCTTCCGTCGAGGGTGCTGGCCGGTTTGGCGCCTCCAGAACAATTTGGTCGGCGGACGCCTGCTCGGCGCTCGCGGTACTCTCCGCTTCGAGAGGCTGAACTGGCTCTGCTGGCGCTTGTGCTTCTTGTGCTTCTCTTGCAGAAGCTTGGGCTTGCGAAAGAGCTGGCTTGCTTGACGACGACGAAACTCGCCCGATTGACCCTGCGAGCGCTCGCGATCGCGCTTCTCCAGGAACGAGTTTGGCGGCCGGCTTGGAAATCGCAGCGCTGGACGAAGATTTAGCAGCAGCAGAGCTTGGTACTGCCGGTTGTCGAGCCGAGGTTGCGACCGCTCCTCCTGCCCGAGACCCCGAGGCTCCTTTTGCGGCCAAGACCGACTGTCCAGGCTGCAATCCAGCGGCGGACACTCGGGAGGTGGCGGCAGGAGAGGAACCAGAAGCGCTCGCTGCGGTGGCGGGCGTCAGCGTCTTGAGTGATTGCCCAGGAGACAGTGCACTGACAGCAGCGACCTTTGCTGGCGACGTTGACGACACGGCGGCGGGTCGCTTGGGACTGGATGCTGCCCCAGAGTGGGCAGCGGCAGAGAGAGCTGGACTGGCCTTGGAGATGGACTCGCCCGGTTTCAGATCGGCTCTGACCGGAATGCGGCTCGGAGATGGCACCACTCGGGAGGATGCTGGCGTGATGCGGGATGGCGATGCACGCGCGGCGGCGCCGGCGGCACCAGCAGCAGGTGGATGAGCTGCATCAGCATTCGCAACTGTTGAGTGTCCAGCGGATGCTGCTGGTGCGGCGGCACCGGCAGCACCTGACGCAGCTCCAGTCGAGGCTGCATGGGGCGAGCTTCTTGAAGTCACAGGACTAGACGCGACTGGGACCGCGCGCGGGGCTGCGGGAGCACGAACCGGGGCTGAGCCTGGAGCGGCAATCTTGGCGGTCGCGGCAGCAGCAGCACTCGTCCGTCCAGGCGCCTTGCTGATCGGAGCTGCAGTGCGCAGTGATGCAGGCGATACCGATCCTGCTGCCGACGCACGAGCGGCGGAGCTGCTACTGCTGCTCGGCGTTGAGGATGGTCCGGAAGGGCGAGCAGATGACATGTCCTGAGCGCAGATTTGTTCACACAGTCTAAGACTGAGTTGCTTTTGAACTTTTGAACGACGGATGAAACCAAGAAAAAAATCAATCAACTCAACGACAACAACAGGACACAATGCAGCAATAAAAAAATGGATTGAAAAATAAATGAATTGAGAGGTGTCACAAAAAAAAAAAAACAAAGCAAACATGAGATCACAGCGGCTGCAAGGATTGCTTGGCGCTGTTGGTATTTCCACTTCGATGGTGAGAGTCGCGCTTGTTGCGACGGGGATGATGAGGAGTCCATTGCTGGTTGTAAGGAGACCCGTGGCCGTTTGGTGCTTGAGGAGAAGAGAAATTCATTGGTGGTTGCTGATACTGAGGTGAGTGGGGTGGATACGGGAGCAACGCAGGTTGCATCTGGCCGCCGGGGAAGTACCCCTGAGCGACAGGACCTGGTCTGACGCCTCCGTACGGGTTGTAAGGGCTGGGCACAAAATACATTTGCGATTGCGGAGGGTAGCCCGGATACCGTGGACCCATTGGGAACTGCTGGGGTTGATGGTACTGCTGGAATTGCGAGTACTGGCTTGCCTGGTTGGGATGGAACTGCTGCTGAATCGGCGCGTAGTGATGTGCCGGGTGGTGCCGAGCAAAATGCTCGGTTGAGCCATTACTTTGATAGGCATAAGGATTGTCGACAAATGACTGCTGGCCCTGGGCAAAGTAGCCCTCGCTTTGCACGAACGACTGCATGCCAAACTGCGGGGCATCCACCAAGGGGCTGTACTCGCTGCCTTGCAGGGCCGCTGGAACAAATTCTTGGGCGGCATGGTCCAGGGGCGCGACCGAAGTCGTACTTGCGGGAGGCGCCTCGTCCAGGGGCGCGGGTGATTCTGCCGCGACGGAAGGCGGATGTGCGGGAGGCGCTTGTTGGTCGCCAGAGCTATCGAGGGAAACGGGCGGATTGGTGGGCAAAGCTTGCTCAACGGGACTGTCGTGTGCCAGCACATCGCCAAAGTAGAGCGGCATCTGAGAGGCGGACTTTGAGTCGTGAGGCCGGGATGCCTGTTGAGGCGACAACACCTCATTCGGGTTGCTGCTGGCAGACAGCGACAAACCACCCGTCGAGTCTACAGCAGCGAGCGTTGCCGCGGCGACACTTGCTACATTTGCATCCGAGGGTGACGAGGCTTCAAACGATAATGCTGACTGCATCTGCGACGACAATTCAACAACCGTCTCGGTCTCGGGCGACGCGGCGGCGGGGTGGCTCGCTACTTGTGGCTCGCTTGCTGGTTTGCTGGCAGGTTGCACAGATTTGGTTACCAACGAGGCATAGCTCAGTGGAGCTTTCGTGCCCTGTCCTTGTTCACTTGCGGGATTCTTGCGGGTGCTCGAAGTGCTGTGCGATGCAGACAAGGACTATCTCAAGGGGGGGGGGAAAGCACAAGATCGAGCGCGCAGGTCAGTCCGGGATCAAACTTTGACTGCAACACAGCGAGTGACAGGGAGCAGAGCACGAACAAAGACTAGTTACAAATTTCAACAAACTCACCGGGAAGGACGCTGCATCGGAGACACTTGGCGCCGCGGCAGGTTGATCCGAGGCAGCGAGAGCAGGTGCAGCGCTCGTGGTGGGTGGCTTGACAGTTGTCGCAGTTCGCGCTGGTTGTGGGGAAATTGCAATTTGCCGCTGTTGCTTGGCTTGATGTTTGCGCTGGTGCTTGCTTTGCGACACCTGCCAGGCCGAATCAGAGCCGTCGTCCGTTTCTTGCGGCTTGTTTTTCTGATAGTAACCACTGAGCTGCGTAAAGTTATCGGCATCTGCGACGATGGTGGGCGACGAGCCAGCCTGGGGACTGGCGGCGTTCGAGCGGTTGTTTCGTGGCTGCTTGTTGGAACTCGGGGAGCCGGTCGCAGTGCCATTGGTGCCGTTACTGCGCGCTTGAGGTGAGGAGAACAGCGAGTTTTTGAGTTCGCGGGCTTCCAGCTTGGCAACGAGTTCCCGGTCGCGAACGGCGAGTTGGCTTTGTGCCAGCGTCCAGGCCTCCAGCTCAAAGTTGCGATACTTTGCAAAGGATTCCGACGAGGCGTACTTTGAATCAATAGCCTTGTCCACCAGTTCAAACACTAGTTGCTGGCAGAACGCGAGCGTCTCTTCCATTGCGATAGGATACAGGGCGTCGTAGTGGTTTCCATTGCAAAAGCACAGCCGGACGCACACGGGCGCTTCCGAATCTGACGCGCACCGGATGAACTCTGCCGGGAGAGTTGGGCTCTGCAAGATTTGGAAATCAATCCTGCAAATTCCATGCCAAGGTGAGGGCGGAGCAACGTTCAAAGCGACGGACGTGAGCAAACAACAACAACAACAACGAAATAAACTGTGCAAAACAGGTGAAACGACAACGTACTTGAAGCGTTGCGCCATGGCGACAAGTTCGACGTGACCACCCCATTCCTTGGACTTGCGCATCTGGAATGCGTAGTGGTCGAGCGGCTGCTCAAGAAATGGCTCAAACTGCTCGGCGTTGGCAACGACGTGCGCGACGCACTCTTGTCGGATTCGCAAGTGCTCCGCCTGAGACAAGTAAACCTGAGCAATGGATTTGAGCAACCAGGGTGAGTCGGTTTCGAGCAGTAATTGCGAATAAGACACCGTGATGTGATGGTATTTGTGGATGAAGATGCACGATCTGTCGCTCTTGAGGTTGAGAAGTTGAGCGGGAGAGACAGACGTAGAGGAAAATGGCGCGATCTCTGAAACACACTGTGAACGGTTACATCACACGAATCCACCAAACCTCTCATTCCCATCCCCCCTCCACCCACAACGACCATCGCCCAGCAATACGAAGGGACATGCAGCTCACGCACCGCTTCAGCGACGACGCGGAAGAGACAGTTGCCGTCCTTGAGAATCTGTCGACGGCGCAACCCAATCGTGCTCAGATGCTCGTCCATCTCGGCATCACGAAGCTGCTGCAGCTGCTGCGGCGTGAGCGCTGGCACCGTCGATGATGCTGCTGTTGCTGCTGCTTCGATAGACCCGGCAGCACTCGCAGCAGCCGGAGCAGCAGCCGGAGCAGGTTGCGTCATGTTGACTGTGTACAGCTCGGGTTCGCTTTTTTTTTTTTTTTTTTTTTTGGCACACACGCCAAGCCACCTGCGAGTGCAAAAAAAGAAGAGTGTGAAACCGACGAGGATTCCTCCTCGGTTTCAAAGGCAACAAACACGAGTACTGAATGTTGACTTGATGATGCAGTGGACGAGTGCAAAACCGAATTCGAGTTTGGCGAAAACTGCAGCCATTTGGAGGAAGTCCTAAAATTTTGTTGATCTATTGTACAGAAAGCAAGGTTAAAATGATAGAAGCTAACACCGAAGGGAAAGCTTCAGAAGAAGCAAACACAGGCGTGTGTAGTAGCGAAACTAGGAGTGCCGCTTGGACGCGTTGGAAGTTGAAATGGACGGCGTTGGGCTGAGGTTGCTTGCTCGCCAGTGATGCAAGGACTCGTTGTAAAAGCGCACAAAGGTGTAGTGTACGCCCGCACTGCAGTACACCGATGTGAGCAGCAGCGGAAGGAAGGGGAGCCAGTTGGGAAGGAATATTGGGTGCAGGACTTCCGTGTACAGCTCGACAGCAGCAAACCCAAAAAGGTACGCCTTCTCGAGCCGATTGAGACGGAAGGGAGCTCTCGATCCCGACGACCGATCCAGAGCGAGCCCACTGAAAGCGAGTCGTTGCAATTCCCCCACCCCCACCCCCGAAATCAGGAAAAAGAAAAAGAGGTGAGCCAAAAGTCAGCAAGCTCGTTGAAAAATGGTCGGCGGCTTGCGACGCTTACCGAAAGAGAACACGTAATGCGCAATACACGAGCAGCACATAACTGAGAACAATCAAGTGCTTGACGAAAAACTCTGGTCGATGGACAGGCTTGGGTGTGAGCAAGAGTGCAGTGTGCAGCTTCACAACACACGGGATGGCACCTACCTCGGGGTTCAAAAATCAAGGGCAGGAGAGAATACAATCCCGAGGCTGATAGCAGAAGAAACCATTTGCCATCGTTGGCATGCTGGACGGCAATCAAGCTATGGTAGCGAGCGCGCGTGGATGTTAGCAAACAAAGACACCAGAGCAGGCAAACCCAAGAAAATTAGCCATGCACGAGCAGAGCTGTTGCGCCTCGCGTGTGCCATCATACCTCATTGGCAAAACAACCATCACAATGGCCTTCTCGTGCACGTGCCAACCGAAGAGGAAGGATGCATAAGCGCACACAACGACGCTTCGCAAAAACATTGGCATGGTCGGGCGGCGCCAAAGCACCACGAGAATGGGCTGTTCATCGTGAGAAGCGTAGAGTACGAGAGAGATAAAGGAGGGAGCGGGGGGGGGGGGAAAGTCAGCAAAGACGTCAAATACTGAGCAGCAGCACGGGAGCAATCCCGAAAACAAAGTGGCCATCGCTTACCAGCATGAACAGCAAAGTCAAAACCATCGTCGCAACTGGCGGAACCGTGGGAAGCACGACGTGAGACACATCGCCCACCAAGCCGCCAGTCATCGATGCAGTGACGTGTTCGGGCATGGGCCAGAGGCCAAGGCGAGGACCGGCTGTTGGAAGACCCACAGATCAACACAAAACCAGCGAAAATCAAATTGGGTCGGCAAAGGACCCCTCCCCCGAAAAAAAAAAAACGAAGAAAAGACGCCCAAGAACATGTAACGAGCAAACAAAGCCGTCCACAAGATGGGAAATCCACCACCGTACCATAAATCAAGACCTTGTCCAGGGCCGAATACAGCGCCCAAAAGTTCGGGGCCCAGTACGCGTGGCACAGCCCACGTTTGAACGGAAACAAGCGCGAGAGCAACTGTCCGAGCTGACCTTCCAACAAGAACGGTCCAAAGGAGAGAGCAAACACGGCTGCAACGCCAGCGCCCAACCGCAGAAAGTTGCCAATCACAAAACGCGATCGTTGGACGGAAGCCGCATCAGACCCACTGCCGCTTGAAGCTGCAGCAAAGCAGTAGTGCCGCAGCAAGAACACAAAGTACGCCGGTGCGAGGTACAGATAAATGTGCTTGAGATTCAACAGGACGGCAAACAACAGGCCTCCAATGAGATCGTGTCCCTGCCAGAAAAAAAAAAAAAAAAAAAGAGTCAGAGTCAGGACAAGACGAAAACCGTCAACCGCCAGAAACAATTCAACGAAGAGCAGGCGTCGCACCTTTTGAATGGCAGCGATGGACAGCAGTAGGACGCCATTCAGAATGCCATTGTACTGAAAGTGGATGTGATCGACCAGCAGCAACCCCGCGTTCAGGACGATAAAAATCGTAACAATGAAGCTCTTGTACAAGTCTTTGTTGCCTCGAAATGTGTTGACATATCTGCCAAGAATGAGAACAACGATTCAAGTCAGTGAGACATCATCGTTCCCGTTTGTTTTCCCAAGCGTCAAATTTGGGGGGTAAAATGACTCAACTGCTGCACGCCGTAGAAGAGAACAATGTCTGTCACAATGACGGAGAGGCGCTGAAAGGTGACTGTGGCCGAGCTGGCGTATTCAAGGTTGGACACGACGACGATGGCGGGATCGACGAGCACAGCCACCTGCGACATCAGCCACTCAAACCATGCAAAAAATGGCGGATAGTCCAGCGTCCATTGAGAGGTATCCTGTGGTCATGGAACGCGCACGTCGCAAAGAGCAAAGAGATTACGGGTGTCAAGATGAGCAAACGCACAAGAAAAATTTGCCCAAAATCTTTTCGCATTCAGGATACGTTACCTCAGTATACCATTGTCGCAATGGAAGTGAGTGGGTAATGGCCAGCCAGTTGCGATGGACTTCAAAATCCGTGGATCGACTGCGAAAGACAAGCATAAACCCAAAGCACGCAAGTCAGTAAGCAACACGATTGAGGCCGAAAAGGCAGAACAGGCAGAAAAGGCAGAAAAAAAAAAAAAAGCAACCTCGAAATCAGAAAAACCACAGCACGAATACGAATGTGAAGATCAAAGACAGAACAACAGCTGGAGGTGATCACTATCACACGACATTTGCAATGAAGAGCGCGTACTAGGCAGGCAGGAGGAGCAGCTTGACGAGAGTAGCGACGAGAAGGACGGCCCAGGATGCGCTGTCACCCAGCGGCGCTGCGTTCGACGCCGTCGTCGTCGTCGTCATCGTCGATGAGAAGGAGGTGGAAGAAGACGACGACGACGCAGGAGTGGGTAAGAACGAGGGCGATGATGGTGACGGCAGAGAGCTGGGCGTCAGAGCGGCGCCGGCAGACGAGTTTGCCCTGCTGCTCGAGCTGGACATGGCCGACAAAAAAGCGTGTGCACGGCGGAGGGCGTTCGCTTGGATTTGGTTGCAGTTGGAAGTGTTGTTGGAGAACGAGCGACGAGTGCGAACGACTTTGAGAGCGGATTGAATGGAGAAAAGAGCAACAATCGCCACACAGCTCGTGATTTGATTGTCGACTGAGCACTGAGCTACTGAGCTGAATGTATGAAACCGAAACCCAAAAAAAAAAAAAAAAAATGTAAGGCAGAAAATTATTCAACATTGAGAGACGGAAATCGAGATGCATGCGTGTGCTGGTACTTTCACAAAAGCGAGACATGCAGAATCAAATCACACAAGATGCGGCCGACTTGATGACAACGCGCAGCACAAACAACAAGCATATGCAAGCAACAAACGGAAACATGAACAACACACCCCAACTACAAAAAAAGAAACTACATCTGACCGACAGCTTCCTCCATCTTGCGCTGGTGAGCAGCAGATGCAAATTCCTCGTAATCAGCAGCGGGTGAGCCGATCGAAGGTGGCGCACTGTTGGTTGGCGACTGGTGATCAAGCTGGGCATAAGTGGAGCCAGGCACCGTTGCTGGAGGCGGAGGAGGGCGATTACCAGCGCCATTCAAAGTGTCGTAGAGCTGGTTGTTGTCGTCGACAGAGACGTCGTAGATCGGGTTGTCAACCCGACTGTCATAGCCGGCACCGCCCAGAGTGTCGTAGGTGGAGTCTTGAGGATGCAACGTGTCGTAGGTGCCGTTGTCCGATCGGCGGAGTGGATTGAGCTCGATGCCAACAACAGAGCCAGTCAAGGACATCGGAGGCTCGCGGGCACGCTTCTCCTTCTTGTGTTTGCGTCGGGCCGCAACAAGCAGCAGCACAATCAGCAAGATAATCAAGAGGAGCACGGCGGGGACACCAACCGCAATGCCAACGGTAGCGGCAGACGTCGACCCATTGTCCGACGGCGGTGGAGCACGTTCGTTGTCCGTGATCAGTACCGCCATCGCCCGCTGAGCACCCAAGCGCGCGCCGCCAGCAACCAGAGTCAGTCGAATGAAAAAGACCCGCGTACCCTGGTAGCCCGCAGTGTCGTAGATTGGAATGTCCAAGAAGCCCTCATCCTGGCCGTCGGCAAAGACAACCTCATATGGCATTTCGTCAATGTCGCGCGTCAGGTTCGAGCGAGCAGGCGGTAGAGACAACTGGCGAAGAGGATCCAAGTCGGCGTGCGAACGCACATCCGTCGAAATCACAAACGTCACGGTGACTTGGCCAAAGAGACCAATCTCGCGCAAAAGTGGAAGTCGCAGAGTGCCAGAGTTCTCCGATACAGAGGCGATGACGGGAGTGTCAGTGGTGGTGGAGTTGGCAAACGCAATCACACCGTTGCCATCATCGCTCGCAACAATCGTCACGGTGGCGACACACGCCCATGCACGCCGGGCTCCAACGACATTCTGCAGTTCGACAGTGAAGGTTTCGCTTCCCTCCGGAATGTCATCATCGAGAATGGCGAGCGAGAAGCCCTGTGTTGAATCACTCTGAGCAAGAGTGTGCGCGTTGTTGGTGTTCGAGGCGTCAAAGTCGTCGACAGAGGCAGTTCCCGCGCGTGCGTAGGTAGTGTATGTGACAGCGCTTTGACTGGCTCCATTACGGGTCACAAACAAGGTCACCAGCTCCGTCACTTCCTGAACAGAAATGTCAGTCGCAACAAAGCCCAGCACGCCTTGGCCTGGAGCCTTGGCATCAATCACGGCAGGAATCTGACTGTCGAGTGAGCTCGTCGTCAACAACGAAGTAGCCTCTTCTCCAGACGATGCCCCGTTCGCCGAAAGCACAAACCGGAACGTCTTGTAGTCGGCGTCGGCGATGCTGTCATTGGCGGCCGTCCAGTAAAGCACCTTGGAAGTCTCGCCCTCCGCGAACGACACGGGCTGAGTGACCACGCCGCCGACAAAGTCGGAAGCCTCGGCAGGCGACGCATCAGATCCCATCACAATTGTCACCAAACCAGAGATTGCGTGGAATGCACCATAGTAGCGCTTGACAACGACCGCCATCGTGTCGCCCTGTTGGAACAGCCAACGACGGACGCCGGCCGGTCCCAGGCGCATGTCACTCGGGTGCTCAAACGCAAGCTGGCCGTACGGCACATCGTTGTTGCTGATGCACACGTCGGTAAAGTTGTTGATCGGATCAATGCGAGCGCCACCCATGGCGCCATCCAGCTGCACGTAAAAGTACTCGTCCAACTCGGGAACGGCGTCGTCGAGCAGCTGAACGGAAATCTGAATGCGGTCGACTCCCGCGCCCATCGTCACGACTTGACGTGTCACCGCGTTGTAGTCGGGCTGCGCCGCAAGGGCCGTGTTCTGCGACAGCAATGTGGCATCGTCGAACTTGCCGTCGTGGGTCGACCACGAGAACGAAATGTCGCCGTACAGACCGGCCGAGCGTCGGATTTCGACCTGAACAGTGTTGTTGGGCTGCAAAACACCCCCGACAACCAGGGATTCTTCGCTGCAAGAGGAGATGCGTGTCACGGACAGGACACCGCGAGCGTCGTCGTTCTCGGGAATGGTGATCTTTTCAAGCGCAGCGCTCGGGTCAATCCGTCCATTGCCAGAGACGAGTTCGAGAACAACGCCAAAGATCTCGTCCACCTCAGGAATGCCGTCGGCCACAATCGTAATCGGCACTGTCAGCGAGCTGTCGGATGGCGTGAAGGTCAAAAGCGTAGAGAACGGGGTGAAATCGCTTGCGGAGGCGAGCTGGACACCACCAGCTTGGTTGACTGTCAGCACCGTCGTACGAACGCGCACAACCGTCGTTCCAAACATGCCCTGGCTCCGGGTGACAAGAATCTGCGTCGTGCTGCTCTCGTTCAGACGAGCGGTCGCAAAAGCAAGGCCAAACACGCCGTACGGATCGTCGTGTGCATCAACGGTCACGGATGCGCTTGCGTAGTAGCCGAGAGCTGGCGCTGGGCCGCCGCCGACCATCGCCGCTTCGGCGAGCGAGTACGTGTAAGTCACGTCAAGCGAAGGGGTGGTAGAGAGCGGCAGGGGAACATTGAGGGTTGCCTGGTTGGAGTTCGCAGGGATGATGAGGGTAAAGTCCTGGTCTGCCAAAGCATCGCGGCGAGCGACGCCAGAGCCTCGGTGAATAGTCACGTTCACGGCTTGGTCAAGCGAGGCGGCAGCGTAGCGCTCCACAGTCAGAGGATACGAGCCGGCCGTGATGCTCACACGCAAGTCACGCGATTCAGGCACCATGCGAACAGCGCCGTTCGTGTGGTCGTTTGCATCAATCACAACTGTCGACTGGTTGTGTTCGCCAATGCTCAGATACCGAGCGTCGTACAGCTGCACTGTCAGTTTCTCGACATCCTCGGCCACGCCATCGGCAATGATGGTAATCTCGATGGCCTTGACCGTGTCGCCCAGGTTGAACTCGAGCGGCGAGGGTGTCACGACCACATAATCTTCACCCAGCACCGCCTCTACGCCAGTGACAGTAAAGTACACGAGCGACCCGTCGCGCGCAACCGTGGTGTTGACATAGAGCAGCACGGTCGTGCCCTCGCTCGTCACCACGAGCCTCAAGTCGGCCATGAACGATGCAGAGTTGTTTGCGACGCACGAAAAGCCGTTGCCAACAAACCCGACATCGCAGGTGCACTTGAAGGTGCCTGGCAGGTTGAGACAGCCGGCATTCGGGTCGCAGGGTGCTGCTGGAGCAGCGCACTCGTCAATGTCTGTGCATGTCACACCGTTGCCACTGTAGCCGCTGATGCAGTTGCAGAGGAAGCTTCCAGGAGCATTGGTGCACGTCGCGTTCGCATGGCAGTTGTCCAGATTCTCGGCGCACTCGTCGATGTCTGGGCAGCTCGTGCCATCGCCTGCAAGCCGGTAGCCAGAGAAGCAGCCGCAATAGAACGACTCGGGGGTGTCGATGCAATTTTGCGAGCACCCTCCGTTGTTGGCTGCGCACTCATTGATACTCGTGCAGCCACCGACGCCACGGCCGTTGCCATTCTGGTGGTAGCCCGATCTGCAAGAGCAGGTGTAGTTGCCAATGGTATCCGAGCAGATTTGTGCGCACAGGTTGCCGCCACCAGGAGCACACTCGTCAATGTTGTTGCAAGTCAGTGAGAACGACGACCAAAGCTCCTGGTCTGTGCACGTTGTCGAGCTGGTACTGCCGCTCGTGGCGGCGTAGCCAGACTGGCAGCTGTAAGTGCATGTGCTGCCGTACGTCGTGGTGCAGCTGTTTGCCACAGCATTGGCTGGCGCAGGGGGGTTGGGCAAACAGCTCTTCCTGATGTTGCAGTTCGAGCCTTTCCAGCCAGGCAGGCAGCTGCGGGTGCCGTCGGTCAAGCAATTGTAGCCAGCTGTGGCTGAGTTTTCGGGAATGCACTGGGTGCAAATACCAGCACCGTTGGAGTAGTATTGGTTTGCAGCGTCGCATGTGTTGCAATCCTTGCCGAGATAGCCAGCGCTACACGTGCAGGCGCCAGTCACAGAGTTGCATGCCGTGCAAGCGGCCGGTGAGCCGACTTGGCAAAACTCGTTGCACGTTGGACCATAGTACCCAGCGTCGCAGTCGGCTCGGTAGTACACGTACACGTTGGGAACAGTGGCGCAGCCACCGCCGAGCGCACCGATGCTCATTCCGGTCCAGGAGGTAGCGCTGGTGATGGTACCATATGCATAGTTTGTTTGCATGCTGGGTATGTTTTTCGTAACAACGCCCATGTAATTGCCATTTAACTGTCCTGCAGCATCGCTCTCCCAGCAAGAAACGGAAAAGTACACCGAGCCATCCCAGCCAGTGGCCGTGCCAGTTCGTTGATAGTTCCATCGCGGGGCGTTGGTGTTGATGATGATATCTGATACAACTGCGTTGTACGTGTTCGTAGTGCCGCTGGCACCCCACCTCACTTGAAAATTGCAATAAGGGTCGACTGTTTGTGGCAAATAAAAGGGTGATGCCAATATGAGACAAATCACGCATTTCTGGCTGGCAAAAAGGAGCATCAAGCAGCGGGTCTTACGCGCAGTCACACCCGAGCTTTCGCCTTCATCGCAAGAGAACGTTGAGATGGTAAAGTAGAGATGGCGAACTGTCCACGAGATGCGTCCTGCCACCGAAGCGGCTTGAGCTCTGGGAGGTGCGAGCGCAAGTATCGCTGTTGCGATGACCAGCGCGATGAGCACCCTCGCCATTGCTGTAGAGTTGTACAGTGTTGCAAACCAAAGCGCGAGAGTCGTGAGTGAGGCACGGATGCAAAAAACAAAAACGAAAAAAGCAAAAAGACAAGTTCAGAGCGTTCGATATTTTCAGTGATGCTCCTTCGCCAATGGGATCAACAGGTCTCGGTTCGTGATGATTGGCTGTTGCCTGTTTTATTTAGTTTTCGCTGCTGCGATATCGTTTGAAAAAAAAAAATGCTTTGTTGTGATGTTTTTTTTTTTTTTTGTTGTTGTTTTTTGTTTTTGTTTTTTGTGATGGCACCTCGAGCAGAAAGTCATCGCATCGAGCTTTCCGGCGTTGAGTGCTCCGAAAAACAAAAGAGCAATCCAAGACATTAACATTTTAGAAGCAGAGGACGTGATCCAATGCAAGGGGATGACTCAGAAGCGGCAAGCGAGAGGGTTTTTTGGGTTGATTGTTTGCGTGTTTTTTATATTTGTATTTTTGTTAGTTTTATGTTTATTCGTTCCTTATCAGCGCTCCTCCTTGAACTGAGGTAATCCAGCGCGTTGTGATTGACGAGTTCGTTCACCACTCTCTTTCTGATGCTCTGAATGCTGCGCACTGCCATTGAGAAACCGCCGCCAGCAACAAAAGTGGAAAAAGTGGGAAAAGTGGGAAAAGTTCCCGGTTTGACAAAACAGGGCTGACAGCTGTCGTCGGGTGTGTGATCACAATCCACTTCTTGGTTTGCTCGGAACGACGCCCATTGATCCGCGATATCCGCAGCAGCTTGCTTTTTACGCGCTTCGTACTTGCCCGCTCAACAATCAGCCATTCAGCGGATGGAAGCAGCGTGAACAAGGCGGAGTGGTCAACAGAGTGTGGAGTGATTTTTTTTTTTTTAATGTGTGTGTGCGTTTTTTGTTTTGTTTGTTTCGTTACTTCAACCCGCCATCTGCTTTCTGTTCTTTCCCCCGGCATGCACGTTCTTCGAGGCAATGCTTTCTCGCTTGCTCATTCACGTTCGTCGAGTTTCCAACGCACAAAACGGGGGTGGGGGAAGCAAAAAAAAACAAAAAAGCAAAAAAAAAAACTGCAAGCTTTTGACCCGCTCGCATCTCATTCACCTCCTCGTCGACTCCAATGCGTGGTGCGCAGGCATTGCGTGGTGAGATCTAGTTCACCCCCTCCTCCAAAGCGCAAGTGTGCACGAGTTCGCTTTCGCCCCTCCTTCCGAAAACCGCTGGTTGTGTTTACCTCAAAGTAGAAAAAGTTGAACAAAAAAAGGAGTGCGTCAGCCCAAAACCAACCGCATGTTTCGTTGTTG